ACGCGGAGGTCTTCGGTCAAAGACGGAGGGCGGCTGGTGCGGAGGTCGGCCAAGTGTCAAAGACGGAGGGCGGCTGATGCGGAGGTCGGCCAAGTGAGGTCGGGCGAAGAAGCAGGTCGGGCGAAGGACGAAGTCGGGCAAAAGAAATTTGGCAGTGGACAGGCAGGTCGGGTAAGAGGCAGGTCTGAGTTCTGTGACTGGTGGGAACAGTTGAAGGAAGTTGTAATACGTGTCAATAGAGGAGAAATTGGTGGTCGGTTGACAGCGGTTGCTGTAACCGACCAGACGGCAGTTCAAACCGTTTTCTTCAAAGGTTATTTAAGGATTCAGATTTATTCTCAAAAGGCATCTTCAATCAACTTCAACAAAGCAAAGTCAGATTTGGGGATCACCACTTTAAATTTCAGTCTTTTATTTTCCAGTTTATTTTCTGTACCATACAGTGTTTAGAGATTCCTAATCTCAGACACTAATTAATCAAGTTTAAGGATATTTTCTATATCTTTGAATTTTACTTTATTTTTGTTGAAAAATTACATCAACAAATTGGCGACCACAGTGGGAGCAAGACAAAATTGCTCATTCCAATTCCGGCGATAATTTCATACGTCTTAGATCCGGCCGTATCATCGGAAGGGTCCATATGGCAGGTTCACAACCTCAATCATCTTCGGCACCGGCGGGAGAATCCGTTCCACCACCTATTGTGCCAAATGCCGGGGAAATCCCACAACCACCAACTGATTGGAGGTCTTATGTTCAACAAATGAACAACCAGCAAACTTTGGTTATGCAGAACATGTTGCGTGAGCAACAAACGAACATGTTGCGTGAACAACAAAATCTAATGCAAAACATGTTGGATCAGGCATTCTCCAGATTCACCCTGTATCCAAACATGCTTCCAGCCGTGTCACCTTCTCGTTTTCAGGCGACTTTCTCAGGATCAACGTTTGCAGAACCATCATATGTTGATAGTACATTTCCAAGCGTCACAACTTTCAACCGAACAGATATGGGGAAGATTCCTCTAACTTTCCCAGATAATGTTCCTTTGGGACCGAGGGTTGATAATACCCAGCCGAACGAGAGATTAGGAGGACAGACTCATAATCCCATTCCAACCGAACCAGCCTTCTCTAGAGAAGAAAGGTTGGAGGGACAGACTCATAATCCCATCCCAGCCGAACCAGCCTTCTCCAGAGAAGAAAGATTGGGAGGTCAGACTCACGATCACATTCCAGTTTTCGACCATATTCCACCCAGAGTAGATCCGGAGGATATTGCTCAAGTTCTGCGGGTGCATTTCGGAATGAATCCGCAAACGGTGAACAGGCCGGTTTATCAGAGGCCATTTCCAGAAAGGATCATTAACGATCATCCTCTCCCGAGAAATTATAGGCCACCAGACTTCTATTCTTTTTCGGGAGAAGACGGAGCCTCTACCATTGAGCATGTGGGGCGCTTCACGGCTCAATTGGGAGAAGTAGGCAACAATCCGTTTCACAAGTTACAATTGTTTGGGTTGTCGCTCACAAGAACAGCTTTTTCTTGGTATGCCAGTCTGCCGCCTGGACAGTTGCAAACTTGGGGAGATTTAGAGGCAGATTTTCATGCAAGGTTCTTTAATCCTCTGCCGACAGTCTCACTGATAGACCTTCTGGAGATCACGCAGATGCCGGAAGAGACCGGCTACCAATTCATAGAGAGGATGCGATTGATGAAGGGACGATGTCCTACGATGATCAATGAAAGCTAAATGACCAATTTGGTGGTCAGGAACATGCATACCAGACTTCGCGAGGCCCTGACAGCCCACGACTTTCAAGATCTGGCCAGTTTAGCATCCACGGCAAGAAGGTTAGAATCCTTTTTTACAGAAAATAATCATGACTTCCGTCAGGGGGGAGATGCTGAAGAGATGGTAGTGCAAGATCGATCAATGTGCAGACCACCACCAGTCCGCAATAAATGGAGGTCGGGTCCAACGTAGCCTCAGAAGATGGAGGTCGGATCTGAGGCTGATGTAGCCTCAGATGCTGACCTGCAAACTCCTAAAACATCACTGAAAGTGATGTTTAGGAGTCTTGAGGAGGAGGCTTATTGTTACGCACAAAAAATAATAATAATAAATAATGGCAGTGGGATTCTGGACGGGTCTGGATGTAAGTTAAATGACCCAGAAGTCGGGTGCAATCGGACAGAATAAAGGTCGGGAAAAGGAAGAAAGGTCGGGCGGAGTCTAAAAAAAAAAGGGTGTACCCAAGTCGGGTAAACCGTAGATCGGGTGAAAGGCGAAGTCGGGCAGACGCGGAGGTCTGTCAAGAGGAAGGTCGGGCAAGGAAGATGTACGGACAGACGCGGAGGTCTTCGGTCAAAGACGGAGGGCGGCTGGTGCGGAGGTCGGCCAAGTGTCAAAGACGGAGGGCGGCTGATGCGGAGGTCGGCCAAGTGAGGTCGGGCGAAGAAGCAGGTCGGGCGAAGGACGAAGTCGGGCAAAAGAAATTTGGCAGTGGACAGGCAGGTCGGGTAAGAGGCAGGTCTGAGTTCTGTGACTGGTGGGAACAGTTGAAGGAAGTTGTAATACGTGTCAATAGAGGAGAAATTGGTGGTCGGTTGACAGCGGTTGCTGTAACCGACCAGACGGCGGTTCAAACCGTTTTCTTCAAAGGTTATTTAAGGATTCAGATTTATTCTCAAAAGGCATCTTCAATCAACTTCAACAAAGCAAAGTCAGATTTGGGGATCACCACTTTAAATTTCAGTCTTTTATTTTCCAGTTTATTTTATGTACCATACAGTGTTTAGAGATTCCTAATCTCAGGCACTAATTAATCAAGTTTAAGGATATTTTCTATATCTTTGAATTTTACTTTATTTTTGTTGAAAAATTACATCAACAATTGTTAAATATTTTTTTTAATAATATATATATTATCTAAATTTCGTGTCCAACTAGAATAGATAAATTAGGTGGGACGGAGGCAATAATAATATTTAGGAATTTTCTTATACAATCATCGTACCATTTTAACCTTTACCCGAACGGCCATTCACACCGGTCTGCACCCATTGCCGGTTCGAACCGGTTTGGAAGGAAATCTGTGAACGCTATTTCCTTGGCTGGACACTGCATAGGTTTAGGTTGTCCTAACTGTACAAATACGGCGCCTTCCTATCAGACCCCCTATGTCCTGTCCTACGCTACCCTACCCTACCCTACCAACCTACTTTACTTCCACTTATGACCCCACTTATGCTTAATTAAATACTTATAAACAAAATTGTACCAACAAACCAATATTCTACAAATTATAACAATAAATATAAAATATACTTCCTGTTCGAAATATATAGTTTTAATTGAATTAACGATGAAATTTAAGAAATATTGATATTATATTGATAATTGGTAAAAAATATAGATAAAATATTTTTTTGTCTATATTAGTGTAAAAAGTAGTGGCAATTGTGTAATAAAAATAAAAAAGTAGAGATAGTTTTATGGTGATATAATTATTTATAAAAATTTATTTTAAAACGAACAAAAATAAGTAAACAAAACTATTGTATTCGATCGCAGAGAATATATATATATATATATAATATGTTGTGGAATATCTTTTCCATCAATGGTGAAACAGCAAATTGAATTTTATTACAATTAGTTTACTATTAAAGAAGAAATACAGTGAGACGACGTCGTTTTCATTACCGAAATTAGAAGAGTCAATTTTGTGCTCAACGCTACCTAAATAAAAACGCTACTACGTTATTCAAAATTCAGACACGATTTTATCGTATTATAAATGTAGCAAAATAATTTTAATTAAAATAATTTTGCACAACGACTAAGGAACATTAAATATCACATTTCAACAAAACCAAATTGAAAGCAAACCTAAAACATGTGAACTGAACCAATTCATATCGTGAACCAAAACCACAACTATATATTTATAAAAGAAAATAATTAATTAAAGATATAATAAATAAAGGAAAAAAGAGAGAGACTCTTTTATGGCTTTTTTCTTATTATTTTATTTTTATTTATTTAAAATGTGCTGAAATATATAATAATAAATCTATTATAAAATTAAGAGTAAATTATATAATATTTTCCTATATTTTTAGTAAAAATTGTACAAAACACACTGTGTTTGTGTTTTATTTATTGCGTAAAATTTCTTTACGTTAATATAAAATTTGTACTAAACACTATTTTTGTTCAAAACTGATATTTTGTTATAAATAAAGAGCTATGTAAATTTATACAAATAAAAAATAAAAAATATTTTAAATAATTTTTTTTTGAATAAAATCAGATAACAATTTGTCTCCAAAAATTAATAAAATGAAAGATTAATCAATATTTATTTATTTATTTTATTAAAAAATCTATTTAAGATAGTTTATATTTTTTATTTACATAAAAATTGCGTTATTTACGTCTTTATTTAGAACTTAACATTAGTTTTGGATAACGATGGTGTTTCGTGCAAATTTTACGATAACATAAGAGATTTCACGTAATAAATAAACACACAAAATATTTTGTACATTTTCACTAAAACACAAGGATTATACTCCTTCCATCTCATATCTATCTATTCATTTACTTTTTGCACAAAATTTTAAAAATATTAATATTATATTGGAATATAGTAAAATAAAAATATAAAGTCTAAACTGTATTATTAGTATTGTATGATACAAAAATAATGATATTTATGTAATATATTGTAAATTGAAAATATATTTGTAATATTAAGTAGATAGCATTGTTACTTAAAAAAAATGAATAATTTATTATAAGATTGATAAAAATAAAAAAATTGATAAATTGTTGAAGGGCGGAGTATAATCTATCCTAAAATTAAAGCAAAAAATTGGGGGGTGTTCAATACATTGTCCCGTTTATAAATAAGAAATGCTAACCAAAATACCAAAGCGCACGTCACGTGATCCTCACGTGACCGCCGCCATTACTTCAGTATAAATACGTCTACAGCACCAAATCTTCACTCTCTCCAGAAATGGTTTTATCAACAGAAGGCCGAGTCCGTACAGATACCGATGTCTAATCCATTTCCGCCACCGCTAAGCGCCGTCGTCGGCGGCGGTGACGTCACTCCTCAACAAATTCCGCTTTTACCGCCGCCTAACACCGACTCGTTTTCGTCGTCTTCCTCTGAATCAGCCGCCTCCTCCTCCGCCGCGCCGCCGGTCTCCGCTATTATTGTGATAATCGTGATCGCCTCCGCCGTGACAGTCGCCGTCGCTGTTTACCTACTCCGCCACATCTCCAGAAGGTTCTCGAATACCTACCGCGACGACGCCGTTTCGCTCCCAAGCGGTTCTCCTAACGTGAACGGTAACCGTCCGATGCGCCACGTGGCGCCTTCTGGAATGCTCGATTCGCTTCCGGTATTCACCTTCCGCTCCGTCAATGGAAACCTCGCCGGCGGCGACTGCGCCGTCTGCCTCTGCAAGTTCGAGGCGGACGATCAGCTCCGTCTTCTTCCGCTCTGCTGCCATGCCTTCCACGCCTCGTGTATCGACGCCTGGATCGTGTCGAATCTCACCTGTCCGCTCTGCAGGTCCGCCGTGCTCTGCTCCGACGCCGATTTGCTCCGCAAAATCGATTCCGGCGAGAATGGAAACAGGAGCGGCGGAAGTTTCAGAATCGAGATCGGAAGCATCAGCCGCCACGGTGGCGGAGGCGCGGCGGAGGCGGCGGAAGGAGATCGGAGATCCTATTCCATAGGCGGTTCCTTCGAATACATTCTAGATGAAAACGGTTACGAGATTCCGGCAGGATCCACCGTTCATCGGAGAGGAACTTCCGATTGCACCTCGCTTGACAAGGAATCTTCCGTCGGAATTCCGACGCCGCAGCCGCCGGGAGAGATCCTGGCGGCGGAGGTTGCCGGCGGCAGGAACTGGCTGCGGGAGCTAACATCACGCTCCTTTTCATCACGCACTATGTCGTTGAGGAGCTCTGGAAGATTCTTCGCCGGAAGCAGTCGCCGGAGCGAACACTTGGCGGCAGCGCCGGAGGATGTGGAGGCGAACCGTGTCGGAGAAGAAATCAGCGAGTTCTTTCGGTGGCTTTCGGGGGTATAGCTGTAGATACTTCTTACCCTGAGGGTAAAATGGTAAATTCACTCTTTCCTATTTCTTTGTAGAAATTTTCGAAATCTGGAATGCTGCGTGCGTGCGGACAAGTATTACTTATATTACAACATTATTATTATTATTATTATTATCTTCAATATCCTTAATTACACAAGAAATGGAAATATTGGATACAAAATGTCAAAATATATAGTTAAATTGAGGATTGCTTATATTTACAAATTGTTTTATTCAAATATAATTGTTACTTTTTAATCCGATCTCTTTTTTTTTTTTTTTTTGGCTTACCTGTGTTCCCTTCCTCGTACATTTAGAACTTTAATATACTTTTTATGTCCTATATTTATCTATTTATTTGTTTTTTATATAGAATTTTAAAAAGGTTAAATTATATAATATCATTTGTATTTTAGTAAAAATACATAAAATATCTATGTTTTATTTATTGCATGAAATTTTTCTGTGTTAATGTAAAATTTTCACGAAACACCTAATTGTTCAAAACTGATGTTCTGTTCTAAATAAAGACCTAAATTATGCAAATTTTATAAAATTAAAAAACGTAAAATATCTTAAATATTTTTTTGAATAAAATAAATAAATAAATAATTTATCAATAATTTATTTTTACAATTTTTGTAAAAATCGGATAACAATTTGTCTTCAAAAAGTATAAAATGAAGATTTATTTATTTATTTTATTAAAAAAATTATTTAACATATTTTACATTTTTTATTTATATAAAATTTGCGTAGTTTAGGTCTTTATTTAGAATCGAATATCAATTTTAGACAATGAGATGTTTCATAGTTTGACGCAATAAATAAAATATAGGATGTTTTGTGTATTTTTTCTAAAACACAAGGGAGTGTTATATAATTTACTCTTTTAAAAGTATTACTCCCTCTGTCCCCAAAAGTTGTCTTGTTTTTCCATTTTCGTCCGTCTCAAAACAATTGTCTTGTTTCCTTATTTAGTAATCGTGGTCCCAACTTTATAACAAAATTATTCATACTTTTCCAAACTACTCGTAGTTAATAATCTAACCTACTTTTTAAAATCCTTCAAAAAGTAAGGACATTTTTGTCTTTTACATTCTATTTTATACATACTTTTAATTAAATACTATTATTCCTTAATTCCCGTGCCAACTTCCAACAAGACGCTTCTTCTGGGACGGAGGGAGTAGTATATATTGAAATATAATATAAATAAAAAAAATTAAATTAATCTTATTAGTATTGTAAGATAAAAATAATGATATTTATGTAATATATTCTAAATTGAAAGAATATTTTTAATGTTAGGTATATAGTACAATTACTAAAAATAGAAATAAATATTTTTTATGAGACAGATCAAAATAGATAAATTATTAAAGGACGAAAAAAATATATGTATATATATATATTTTTTTTTTAGATTTTGGAACTTTAATTTTTGAAAAAGTAATAGTAGTAACTTTCTTCCTTGTTTTTCGTAAGTACATTTGTTAGGTTTTGTAAGATAAACTGAAAAATAATGTAATGACAAGAAGAATGCATGCTGCAGAGGGAATATATATATATATATATATATTCGTATTTGTCCCAAGTACATGCCCTTTTCCTACTTCCTAGTTTTGTTCGTAGGGCAGCGACAATGGAATAAATAATTTTGTGATATATAATCTTATTTTTATCCACAATTATATGCTTATTTAGGTTGAGCATAAATTTTAGTAAATATTCCCTCAGTCCAGCTACAAAGTATACATATTTTTATTTTGGGACGTCTAATTACAAAGTAACTATTTCATTAAATACCTCATTTTTTTCTACAAATACTCTTACTTTACATTACATCATTATTTTTATATCAAAAAGTAAGGGCAAAAATTTCATTACACTACTTTTACATACCCATTATAATTAAAATACTATTATTTTTTAAATTCTGCGCCAAAAGTAAATGTATACTTATTGCTTGGACGGAGGGAGTATAATATTATTATATTAGTTAATTATGTTATAAAATATGATGCTCCCTCTGTCCCATTGGAAGAGTGACATTTTGTTTTTTGCACGTAGATTTTTGAATATTAGTATTATATTGGATTGTAGTTAAAAAGACAAAAATATCCATATTAGTATGGTGTAATATAAAAGTAATGACATTTGTGTAATATATTGTAAGTTAAAAAGGTATTTATCATGTTAGGTAGGAGTACAATTACTAAATTATGAAATAGTAACAAAAACAAAAATAAAAAAAAGATAACATTTCAATGGACTGAGGGAGTATTTTTGAGAAATATGCGTGAGTTAATAAAATGAAAAAAAATAAAAGAATAGATTGAGTATTTAAGTACTTGTAATATTTTGTAAATAAATAATAGTATAATATTGAAATATATAAATTTTTAAAAAATTACAATATATCATATATACTTTATCTACTTACAAAAATCAATAATTTAAAACAAAATTATACTAAAAATTATTATAGTGTCTCTCTGTTTCTCTTTTTCTTTTTTAAATTTCTCACAAAATTGTTATTATTCAATTTTTTTTTAAAAAAATATAAAATCAATTTTTTTTATTCTTTATTATATTAAAAAAAAAAAATTTACATTCAAAACATCTCATCATCTCATCTGTTTACATCAAATTAATCAGTCATTCAAATTCTACTCTTTAAAAATCCAAATCCAAAAATCAAATAAACAAAAACACATAACTCGAATAATCAAAAACCACAATAACAATTCATACCCATAGCTCATTGAAGATTCTAATCATCAAATCAAAACAACATAAACACCAAAACCAAAACCATCCAAATCCCATAACAATATGGTCGTCTACCTTCTCCGTCTACTCCTCCACTGCAGAGCGCATCGACCCTGCTATAACACCCGCTCTTCTGCACAACTCCCTTACCAAAACCCCCCAACACAAAGCTCCCATTCCTCGGAGTCTCGCTAAAAACCACGCACCACGGCCCCCCTCCCCCCGACACCCCGGCCCCAGCCTGGACGAAGCTCCCGTTCCTCATCGCCGCCCGATCTCCGAAAACCGCGTCGCCGAACACATCCTCCGGCCGCAGCCGATTCCCGCGGCGGAGGCACCCGAGGATGTGGCCCGAAATGGTGCCGAGCGTCGGGAGCTCGACGCCGCAGTTCGGAGCGAAGATTTCGGTGAAGTCGTCCTCGCGGTGCTCGCACCCTATTAAGGTCCCGTTGGCTTTGCAGTTTCGACTGCAGGCTTCGGCGTACTGAAGGGCGATGCACCCGAGGCCGGGGCTAATGCTTAGCTCCGGGAGCTTTAGGGATGTCCGGTTCGCGTTGATTATCTTGAGAAGATCGTTTGCAGCGTTTTCTGTAGAAGAAAGTGCGATCGATCTTTTGAATGGGCTTTCTTACGACACGAACTTAATGCGAGAGAAGTTACGATTACAAATACTTTGAAAATTTACTACGAGAAAATAATTTATTTTTGTATTATTGAAATCGACAAATAGTATATATTTTTATATAAAAAAATTCCCACAAAAATTTAGCATTATTTTTGTCCATTCTAATTGTTGTTTATATATATATATATATATATATATTACTCTGTCCGTCCGCCTCTAGGTGTCACATTTATCTTTTGTATCATTGTATTAACATTAAAAATATCTTTATATTTTTGTATAATTTTTTTGTACAGATATCATTCTATTAGTATTATAAGACATTAATGACAATATTTTTGCAATTTTTTTTTAATTTGTACTATATTTTGATATAATAATTAATATTCAAATATCAACAAACAAAAAATAAATGATAATTTAAAATCAGTCAAAGATAGTATAAAAAAATGAAAAAATAAAAAGGGGTAGGAGATAGGGGTGGACCCCTTTCCCCCCTCTAGTTCGCTCTGTATATAAGAGGACAATATATATTTTATATAGTACAACATAATATTGTATTATATATATAAAAACATGTGTTGTGTAGTTGATATATTGCATATATACTTCTTAAACTAAAATCAATAATGTGTTGAATTGGTGACTTAAGTTTTTGTGATGGTAAAGTTCTACTCTTAGTATGGACACAAATGCTCGAATTTGAAATGTCTAATAAATTATGTCGTGAATTTGTTGTAATCGACATAAATAGTTAGTTATACTCTCTCCATCCGCTAAAATAATCTATAATCCATTTGGATTCGGCACAGAGTTTATGAAAAATGAATATTTTATTAAAAAATAATAGTTAACCGAGGGGTATTTTTGGAAATTGACTTAGTAAATGAAGACAAAAAAAATATATATAATAAAGTTAGTAGTATTTATTGTAATATTATAAATTTAGCGGACCGATTAAAAAAGAAAAAGAAAATAAATTTGCGGACGGAGAGAATATTTATGAATGAAACCATGGAGTAATTCTTACTAATTTCTTATAATCTGAATCAAGTTCTTGTTCTTATAATGAATTTACCATTACATTGAACAAGAACTTGATTAAAATTATAAGGAATTAGTAAGAATTAAGACACAGATGTCCAAACAAAACTTCCCAACCGAAGAAATACACAAACACAGATCTCGAAACCACAGCATTGTTCTCAAGAGCTAACGAAGGAATGGAATTGAATTCAAGAATGGCAGATATGAATATACACATATATATAGATATAGATAGATACAGAGACATACCATGGTTCTTACAGCAAGCCAAAGATGGGAGCAAAACAAAGAAGCAAACCACATGGTAGAAAAGTTGCTGAATCGTCTTCTTCTTCATCGTCATAAGCTTAGGTTGTGAGCTCAGACCAAAAATGGAGTTCCTTTCCCTTAAACAATGGAGTGAGAACTGGAGAATTGTTTTCTTACATTTTGGGATTGGAGACAAAAAGGTACTAATGGTGGCCCCAAACTGTATGTAAAATGATTGAACCCAGCCCATTTTGTCGATCGGGTCGGGTCGGGCATTCGGGTCGAACCATGGAAGTCTCTAGAACTATAACGAACCCTGGATAGCTTAAAATTGAATTGAACAATTGGGGGTTAGGTTTGTGCCTTATCTATCATCATCCATGGCGGCTTCTTTCACAATTCCGCTGGGGATTGGCTTCTTCTCTACCACGAAGAATGCCTCGCCTTCATGTTAGCATCTTCGATTTCTGTCATTTCTTTCTTTCGTTCTGGATTTTCGACATTTTCATGGTCTGTCGTTGCTGAATTTCTGAATTCGCTCGCAGGTTTTGTGAAGAGGAAGGGTGCCTTGAGAATCAATGCGATTGCAAACAGAGTTGAACCTTCGAAGGTTTTCATCTGATTTCGATTCGATTCGATTGTTCTACTGGTCTTTTGATGATTAAATGTGTTGGTTCGTAAATCATACTTGTGTTGTGTTGTGTGTGTGTGTATGCATAGGTTGTGCCGCAGGCAGACAAGGTTTTGATTCGTGTAGAGCCTCTGCCAGAGGTACATTTGAATTTCTTCATTTCGCCATTGCCGTTCAAGGATTTTGTTATACATATATGATCCTCTAGGTTTAGGGTTTGATTGTTTTGGGGCTGGGAATGTGCTCGAGATAACCTCTGTGTATGATTTGGCAAATTTTATTAACAATAATTACTTGTGATGTGGTTGTTATTTGAAAATTCTGCACAATTTTTTCTTATGGTTTAAAATTTTTACTAGGCTTGTGGTTTTATTACATTGCACAAGATTATTTTTTCAGAAGATTTTATATAATATTTTGAGAAAATACATTGTGAATCTTATGCAATTTATTTTTAGGGAATTCTGTGGAATATTTTCTAAAACACGAGGAAGTGCCCCGAATCACGGGGAAGTATGGTGCCGACTTCCAAACCACAAATGGATTACAAACAATTTTGGCCATTATATTTTTAAAATGTTTCAGTGTGTTTCTTTACTCAGTTTTTTTCTTTGTTTGGGTGTTTGGATTTTGAATTGGGATTTGAATAGTAAAAATTTTGAATTTGAATAGTTGTATGATGTGATATAAATAGGTGTTGATGTGATGTTTTGAATGTAAAATTGATTTTTACTATAATATAAAAAATGAAAAATAGGCTTTTGATTTGATGTTTTTGGGGAAAAAAATTGGATAAATAGTATATTTAAAATCCAATCCTCCAAACAAACACACCCTTAAATTTATTATTTGTAGTACTATATATTTTTGGAAATATATATATTCTTTTACAAAATATTCAATCAAATATTATTTTACTACCAAATTCGAATAAAATTTTCCCAAATAAAAAACACATGAATAATATCAAAGTTTTCAAAAATATATCCTAACTTTTTATATGATTTTTAAAATAAAAAATAAGTATTTAATTTGATTATTGTGATAGTGATAATATTGATTAAATGTATGCTACATGTTTGGAAACTTAACAAATAGATCCTTGATAAAATGGGGTATGTTTTTAGTTATATTTTGAATGTTCTGTCTATATGGGAAAATTACAGATTGGTTGTTAATTTTTTTTTGTATAAAATGTCTAAAGCCATGGTATTATGTTTCTTGTTTTTGTTTATGTTTTTTGGATGTAGAAATCGGCCGGGGGAGTTTTGCTTCCGAAGTCTGCAGTTAAATTTGAGCGCTACCTTATGGGCGAGGTGCGCATAATAAAAATATTGTGTTAAATAAAAGTATATATTGTGTGCATTTTTTCTATATGTATTGATTGAAGCATGGACTCACCAATTAAAATGTAATACTCTCTTTGTCTACAAAATCTGTGCTCGTTTGATTTGGACAAAGATTTTAATAAATATGTTATTATATTGGTTGATTATGATATAAAGTAAGAATATTTTGAAAAATATACGAGTGAGTTAACCTGGTAAGAAATTTTTTGGATAGATTGCTATATTTGTAAATCTGTGTAATGTTGAAGGAAATAGATTAAAAATATACAAGAGTTACTCCCTCCGTCTCAACTCAAATTACAGTTTTTACTATTTTTAAAAGTAATTGTTCATTAATATCAAAATACCCTTTAGCTTTTATCTAAATTACAAATCTATCATTATATATATATATAATTAATTTATATATAAAGTAGTTAGCATTAATTTTTTTGTCTCGTGAACTTGGTTTTTAAGGTTCTTACCATCGGAGCGGATGTTGGGGAAGTGGAGGCCGGGAAGAAGGTGAGTGGCGATGCTTGGGAAAATCCCCAGTCGCTTTCTCATTTTTTTTTTTTGCTTCAATAAAAAGGTGTATATTTTTCTATTCGATGCATACCTAAAAAAGATTAGAGTTGATTCTTTTGCAGGTTCTTTTCTCGGACATCAATGCATACGAGGTACGTAGGCTTGAACTATGTAACTCACTTGTAGTCGATGGGCAATGTCATAAGCAAATGTTTTATGTTATTACAGGTTGATTTGGGTACGAACGAGAGGCATTGTTTCTGCAAAGCCGGCGACTTGTTGGCCGTGGTTGAGTAGCCGGCGATATCGGTAATCATTTTTTTACGATCAATGGTGGTTAAAAATGTATTTTGTTCTTGATATTTGTTGATCGAGCTTGGATTATTGTGTTGCTCGAATACAATCGAGTAGTTGAATTCATTTTCAATAAGTTAAATATGAGACCATTTGGTTTAAATTTATAATTATCGAAATTTGATGTTAATTTGTCGAATCATATGTTCATGTTAAATGAGTAAGGGTATGTGTATTATTGATTAATGTAAAGGCAAATCAATGAAATTAATCAATCTGTTTCATTTTTTATTTATTGTAGATTTAGCAAAATATTTAAAAATATATATATTTTTTATATAATATTATTATTATGTTAACGGTTCGATCTTTTACTATTTCAATTTAAAATTAAAACTATTGTAAGTTAATAAAATATACTTTCTATCTTTTTTCTATTATAACAGTTTTTTTTTTTTTTTTTTTCAAAATGAGTGTGACTTTTTCTAAGTCAATAAAATATACTTCCCATCTTTTTCTATTTTCAGTATTAATTTAATTAAAATTTTAATTTCGTTTATTAAAAATTCTTTTATTCACATATTTAATTTATAAATAAATATTTTTATTTATATTTAAAATATTCTTGATTTTTATAAAATTAATTTTAAATTAATTATAAACGAATAAATTTTCTTTTTTTTTTTTATATATATTTGTGTAATTGTATTACATAAATTTTATTATCTATAAAATAATATATATTACATATTTTATTTTATTGAATTATAATCTTAAAAATATATAAAATATCAACTACACTACTCATAAAAAAATAATAAAATAATATGATAACTTATTATTAATAATTTACTAATTTATACTACTAGAATACCGTGTCCTACCAATTCAACTTTGCCGACGAAGTAATATAAAATTAAATATAATTATATAATACTCTCTCCGTTCCACATACCATATCCACGTTGCCGTTTTTGTCTGTCCTACGTACCATGTCATTTTCTTTTTTTGGAAAATGATTACACACTTTAATCTCATTTTAAATTTTTTAATTTTTTTTTAAAATTTTAATTAAACTAATTCTCTTAATCTTAATTTATAATTATTTATATTATAGGATAATTATTTTCACTCATACATTCTTAATTATCTACCAGTTACACTCATTCTAAAATACTGTGTCTATAGTGTAGCAAATACGGGGACGGATGTAGTAATAAATTATAAAATTTAGAGTATAAATATATAAAATAATATTATATTTATTACTCCCTCCGTCTCATGTAATATAAGTGTATTACTGTAGACACTGAAATTTAGGTAAAGTATAATTAGTAAGTAATTAAGAATTGTATTAGTAAAAATAATTATTATTTAGTAAAAATAATTATAGATTAAGATAAGTAAATAGTTTAATTAAAATTAAGAAAATTATAAAATTTAAAATTTAAAATGCGATTAAAGTGCATAATTATATTTCTAAAAATAGAAAGGACAAGTTATACGGAATGAACAAAAATATGGACAAATTATGTGGGACGGAGGAAGTATTATTTTTTGTATTATTAATAATTATTTATTCTTATTAATATTAATATTAATTTTATTTTTATAACAATTTAATAGTAATATAAATAATTTTGATTATAAATAGTATTATTATTATTATTGTAAAATACAATTTTGCCCTAATACATCATCCGCCGCCGCAGCCGCACCTTCTTCCTGTATCTTCTTTCTTCTCCTCCAATTCTTTCCTTTTTCTTCTTCACATAAGCCAGCCGCTGGTATAAATATAGTAGAACCGCCGATTCAAACCAGAACCGGCGGTTCTCAGTTTGACATTACAAACCGAAATCGATTTAATGACGTTTCGATTTGAACCGTAAACACGGTGAACCGGCGGTTCGAACCGGATACAGTTGCAAAAATCAATTTCGGGTCAACACTAAACATTTCTTCTGATCAGCTTGCTCGTAATCCTCACTCTTGAGAAACCCTAGATGGATCGGGAATCGCTCGAGAAGAGACCCGCGATCTTCGTTGTCGGATCCCCCAGCGTCGGTAAACGTACTCTGCTTTCGAGTAAGTGCCTCTCTTGATTCGAGATTTGCTGATTGCAATTGTGGAGATATTTCGAAGAATAGTGTGTTTATGTTTGTTGAACTGAGGCTCAGAGTTGGATGAATTAATTGGCTGTTTGAAGAAGTAGTTTGAATATGATGTTTGGAGGATCTCTGTTGGGATTGATTTTGAAAATTTACCTAGTTTTCGTGATGTTTTGAATTCTACTGAACCGTTCTTCTTGAGGTTATTGCTAATTCGTGTTTTACTTTTGTAGTGATCAAATTTGGATATTTTTGGTTTCAGTATGACAATGAGTTGCATTTTTCGTTAACAATTGGAAGTTTGTTCAATCAATTCTTGTAATGCTTGTTGGTTATTAGGATTGCTTAATGTCGATTTCGAAGATGCACCTGATACATCATCTGAGTTAGTTGTTCATGGGTAAGTGGAAAAGACTTGGTTCCAAAATTGTTTTGTATTTTTTGCATAATACTACGTGAATGATTTTGATTTTCATATATTTATCAGGTGGACAATCGACACAAAGTATTATGAGGCAGATGTTTCGGTATGGATGGCTCATATCACTGATCAGACTTCGATTGCAAGCCTACCGATTGTTGACCGAATAGTTGCCTTGGTGATGGTTTTCGACGTCAGTGATGTAAGACTGATAAAATTTTACCATTTCTGTACACCTTTACAATGGAATTCTTAGTTTTATCTGGTGCCAGTTCTTCGGAAAACGATATTTTGTACCTCATAAATGCTATTCTATTCGATGATTTGCAGCTGTCTTCTCTAGTTTCTCTTAAAGAATGGGTGTCTCGCACGGACATTCAGAGGTTTGATATACTGCTGTGCATTGGTAATAAGGTAGATCTTGTTCCTGGCCATTCTGCTCACGCAGAATACAGGAGACGATTGATGAAACAAAGCGAGTCCTCTGCTAATCCTGAGACAACCATCTCAGAGTATGGTATATCTGAAAATGAAGGAAGCAGTTTATTGGGAGAGGAATCGTCGTCGTGGGAATTTAAGAGATCGTGTGTGGAATGGTGTCTTGAACATAATATCGAATATGTGGAAGCTTGTGCATCGAATGTTGATTTTGATCGATGTAAAGCCCTCTCTCCTATTTTTGTTCCATGTTAGATAGAAGCATATATTTCTAGCCTATTATGTGGTCAATTCTTTTAAAAAAATCCCGTAGAATATGCCAGAAATTGATGATACTTCATTATAAAAAAAGGTTATATATACATATATATTCTTCCTGTTTCGATTTGTTAAAAAAGAAAAGGAAAAATCAGCTCATTCGTCATGGTTCCTTGGTATTGTTGTTAAATTTGCATCTAAGTTTCTGCTTATTTATGTTTCTCACCTCGACCATTCTTTGTCGTTTTGTTTCTTGAAGTGAATATTTGATCTGTCAATCCTATTCGATTAATGGAGATAGAAAGGGTGTTTCACTATTACTTTTGATTACAGGTCTGTCTGTAGACGGCGATTCGCAGGGTGTTGATAGACTTTATGGTGCTCTCTCTGCTCACATGTGGCCGGGAATGGTGTTGAAATCTAGTGACAAGATAAACGAACCTACATTGCCCGAACAAGAAGGTTGATTGTGCTAGCCTGTTAGACCTAGGACGAGTTTATGATATATCTCAAACACACTATAAACTATGAATTTTCGTACTCTTTTATACTTTATGCAGAGGTGTCGGAAGAAGAAGAATCTGATTTTGAGATCGACTATGAAGTACTCTCTTCTGGCTCGGCAGAACCATGGGATGATGTTGGGTGGGTATCAGCAGATGGCCCTGTTTCTGCCTCAGAAATCGGGAGGTCAGTGGAATGGAGCTCTGAAACCATAAATCGGGAGGATAGAAGCAAATCAGGCGCACAAGAGGACCAGCCATCGACATCTGCTTCTCAATTACCGGAACATGACCAGAAAAAAACAACAATGGTGGATGAAGCCGACAGCACTTCAGAACCCGATGAAGAAAAAACTCATGATTTTGAGGATTTGGAAAAGCTAATGGCTGAAATTGGTAACATGCGAAGTGGCTTGAGATTGATGCCCGATTTCCAGAGGAGGGAAATGGCTGCAAAGCTGGCACTGAAAATGGCCACAATGTTTGGGGACAGCAGCGGCGGCGAGGAGGATTCAGTCGAAGAGTTTGAAAAAGCTTAGCTATATCTCAACCAAAAAATCACATCCCAATCAAGTTATGAAAAAAAAAGAGAAAAAACCGATTGTGCGCGATGATTGGCAGCTTAAATCTTCAAATTTATTTTGGTGCCATTCCATCACAGGTAACATCCCCATTTACGCCATTTTTTTTTTTTTACTTTACGCCGTATGTGAAATTTGCATGAAGTTTTTTGGGGCTAGCGAGTTTAGTCATCTTTCATTAATATATTGATCTTCTTGGAAGCATGCTATAGAGTGACTTTATAGTATTCATTGGTTGTGCATTTGATTGGCGAATTCTTTAGGACCAATTAAGTTTCTTGTTGCAAGGCAACAAATAGAGACATGGAAAAATGAACTTGTGATTTTGTAGATAATGCGTGTAAGTATGTTGCCTGAATTTGTTGAAGCACATCACTTGTCGACTCCCGATATTATGGTTATGGTTAGATAGAAGTTTACGGAGTTTTGGAGTATTTTGAAAATAGTAAAACTATGATTATTTGATTCGATATTTTGTCAGAGGAAATATGCATTTGATATAATCAGACTATGCATGTCTTTTTGGTTTTGTTGTAGCTCTATAGTCTTAGGTTTTTCTTGATGTTACTTGGCATGTTAAGAGTTTTGGGGGCTGCTGAAAATTGAGATGAAATAGAGGGGCGAATTTATGTTATTTTTGTAATAAAGGGGTATTTATGAAATAGCTATTAGAATATTTGAAATGTTAAGGGTGTGTTTGTTTGGGGGTTTGGATTTTGGACTGGGATTTAGAATAATAAAAATTTTGAATTTGAACAGTTGTATATGTGATATAAATAAGTGTTTGATGTGATGTTTTCAATGATTTTTAATATAATATAAAAAATAAAAATTAGGTGTTTGATTTGATGTTTTTGGGAAAAAAATTTGGATGAATAATTGAATTTAAATCCAATCCTCAACCAAACACACCCAACTATATCCAACATGAATGAATAAATGATAATCCTATAAACCTCACAACATATTGCAACTACTTTTACATTTATATTTATTTATATTAATATTCATATATTAACTTTTTATACTCCTTTCTTCGCATTATCGTAGTAGAAGCAAAGAATTTATGGAAAGAATAATTAATAAGTAATTAAAAAATATATTTAGTAAAAATAATTATCGTATAATAAAAAAAATAATAAATTAATATTAAAATAATTATTATATAATAAAAATAATGATAAATTATATTAGATTCATACCGTTCTAATAGAAACATATATATTATATATATTTTTATAAAATATTTTCTCTGTCTCAGAAGAAATGTCTTGTTGGGAGTTGACACGGGGATTAATGAATAATAGTATTTAATTAAAAGTGGGTATAAAGTAGGATGTAAAAGACTCTAATGCCCTTGTTTTTTGAAAGATTTTAAAAAATAGATTGGAGTAATAATTAGGGATAATTTGAAAAAGTATGAATAATTTTGTTATAAAGTGCTAAATAAAGAAACAAGACAATTGTTTTGAAATAGACGAAAATGGAAAAACAAGACAATTCTTTTGGGATGGAAGGAGTATTAAATTAAAATAATATTTAAATTAAAATTCTAAACAAAAGCAAACAAGTATTTTTACAAATCATTTTATTTTAAATTCGTTTGATCTTCTATATCTGAATAAATCTAAATAATGCATATCTTTTGATCTGTCACACGTTAGGCACTTTTTGGATACTAGCCAATATATATGTATTATACAAATATAAACAAATGTATATACATATATAATATAAATAAATGTAGGGGTCATAATACCATATATAATATAAATAAATGTAGGGGTTGGACTTGTGACCGTGAGGTTATGGGTTCAAACCCCCGATGCTTCAGATCACCTGCCACGCATGATTCGCCTAGTGTGATTTTTTCGTCGGACCTGGTTTGCAGGGTATTAGATTCGGCCGGAGATTTACTCAGTGCACATTTTCGAGCAGTGGCTGCGGATTCTCACATCATCTAAAAAAAATTGTATATATAGCCATACACACAACTAACCATACTTGATGTTTTCTTTTTCCTTTACATTCACTTAATATTTTAATTTGATATTTTATGTAAAAAATATATATCCCCGACAGGGAATCATAAAGAATGAATAATATTTAAAATCTTTTTATTTTTATTTTTATTTTTCTCCTTAAAAAATAAATATGATTATTTACATCTAAAACTCCACATATTTTATAATATTTATTTATTCTAAATTATAAATAAATAAATGTATTTTTTTATTTACTTGTATTATAAAAAAATTTATTTTTTACAAAATGATATTTATATTACACTTATTTTTTATTGCAATATAATTTTTTAAAATATTTAAATATATATTCTATTTTTTTAATTATATATTAAATTTAAAATAATATTATAACTATTATTATTAACTAATTAATTATTATTATCTTAACTATTATATTATGTCACTAGTTAAAGGAATCAATTATTCTTATTATCATTTGTCTTCGAAACAGCCTAACAAATCCCAACAACCTACTCAAATAATATCATTTTATTTATTTATTTACTTATTTGTCTCACACTGATTAATCGTATCAATCACAATAGTTGATCAGTTTTGGGAAAAATACTTATGCCAAAATAATGTAAAATATTTCATTCGTCATTCAAATCTATTTTTATTTTTCTTTTTTTTGTTATCCAAATTTATTCTCGTTTCTCTTTTTAGTAAAAATATACTCACTCCGTTCCAAATAAGGTGCAACATTTGCTTTTGGCACGAGTTTTTAGGTGGGTGGTATTAAATAGGATAATTTAGAAATTAGGTGATGTAACGTAGAGAGAAATATATATTTTATTTTTTTATTTGGATAATGTCAGAGGATAAAGCGTGGGGTAAAAGATTAAATATAATTAATTATTTCATATTTTGAAAATATTGGATGGTGGAAATATTGCAGGGTGTTTGAGATACCATTTTTCTTAACAAGAAAAAAAAAATTCTATTCTTATCTATTTTTCTTAAAACCTGTGCCCGGTTAAATGAACACACAATTGGATGACGGAAGGAGTCCTGTATTACTTCCATTCCATTAATTATAACACAATTATTTAAATGACCGAATAACTTCTAGTCCATTGCCTTTTTTTTTTTTTGAAATATTTTATAAATTAGTAAAAATGATATATATATATATATATATATTACAATCAATAAAATATAATTAATTTTTTTAGTATACTATAAATACAAATAAAAATATCTTAAATAGGAACAATATGGATTATGATTTAGTTTTATTACTATTATTATTATTATTATTATTATTATTCAATTTTACAAAAATAGGTAGTAATTAATAAGAGTACTTAACTAAAATCTCGTTAAAAATACAATAGTGTGTTTGTTTGAAGGTTTGGATTTTGAGTTGGGATTTGAATAGTAAAAATTTTGAATTTGAATAGTTGTATGATGTGATATTTTGAATGTAAAATTAATTTTTAGTATAATATAAAAAAATGAGAAATAGGTGTTTGATTTGATATTTTTGGGGTAAAAATGAGATGAATAATGGAGATTTAATCCAATCCCCCAAACAAACACACCCGCTAATTTTTAAAAAATTAAATATATTGAATGTGAATAACTTAAATTGGTAACATAGATTTAATAAGGTGAATAGTAAAAATTTTGAATTTGAATAATTGTATGATGTAATATAAATAGGCGTTGATGTGATGTTTTAAATATAAAATCGATTATTAATATAATATAAAAAATAAAAAATAATTGTTTAATTTGATATTTTTATCTAAGCTAATTAATCATTATTAGATTTGAAATCTTCAAATAAATGATTAGATCTTAATTCAACAAGAATCAAATAAATCTTTTGTCAGCATAAAATCAGCATAAATAGTAAATAAAATAATTATGCAATAGCTTTTATAAATTACCATATTTTTTTGAGTTTTGTTTTATTTTATTTTGTTATATAATCATTGTGATTTCCTATCAAAAAATATATATATATATATATATATCATATTCTTTTAATTAAAATGACTAGGTTCTTTTAACATCATTTTTAATTACAATTTCATTAAATAATAGTAAAAATATAAAATATTTTATATAAAAGAAAAAAAAAACTTCAATACTCATATAAAAAAAATCAAAAGAATTATTACAAAAATTTAAATATTCCACCTAATATAATAGAACTATATTTTATATTTTTTACATAATTCTTTATGTCACATACAAAAAATTATTTTATTTAAAAATATTGAGTGAACAAAACCATTTGCATTCACACTATTATCACGCTATTAAAACATACAAAATATTTTTTTTAGATTTTTTTTTTTAATATTGAATAATGATTCTTAATGTGACATTTTTTAGAAAAAAAAAATACTACTAGTATTATTTTAATTAGGGATCTTGTTGTATAGTAAAAAAATTATAACAAAATTTTAAGAAACATGGCCACTTTCTTCATTTCTTTTAGCATTACCTATAACTTTCATTCTAAAAAACATTACTTTTAATATTTATTTAAAATCGACAACAAAATCAAAACAAACAAAGCAGTGTTTCTTTTATAGATTTTGGATCCAATTTTTACTTTTCATAAAAAAAATTCCTTTAAAAATAATAAACCGACCCAATTTCTATTTTTTAAATAAATAATTTCACATATAACACACAGTGTATTAATACTTATTTATATTACATAAGATAATTATTCAAATTCAAAATTTTACTATTCGAAACTCAGCTCTCAAATGTACGACCAAACATAAAAAAGATTGCTACAACTCACACAAACATACACATACCTATATATATATATATATACATATATGTATACAAACCATTTCTTGTAAAAAAAACTTCTCATCAAAACACAACCACCATGAACTTCTTTATTTCCTTCTCAATTTCCTTCTCGATCATATCGATCCTCGAGGGGTTCCATCTCGTCTCGACCGAAACCCTTATCGAATCCTCGTGCAAAACCTTCGCGCAATCCGACCCCAACATCGACTACGGCTTCTGCACGTCGTCGATGAAGGGGGCCACGGCGGGCGGGCGTGCCACCCTACCCGCCCTGGGGGCCATATCCCTACGACTTGTCCAGGATAACCTAACCGACACACGTCGCCACGTCAGAGAAATCCTCAATAACTCCTCGATGCTAAGCCCTTATTCGAGGCGATGCTTGCATGATTGCCTCGAGCTATTTTCCGACGCTGTCTCGGGCGTCGAGGACGCCGCGCGAGATTATGATGCGAAAAGGTTCGACGACGCCAATGTGAAAATGAGCGCCGTTATGGACGCTCCGACCACTTGCGAGGACGGGTTTAAGGAGGGGCCCGCTGCCGTCGCCTCGCCGCTTTCCAAGAGGAACCGCGACGCCTTTGAGCTGTCGGCGATTGCGCTCTCGATTATTAATGTGGTCCGGAGAGGGCCGGGTTGATCGGAAATTGTTGGGTTTTTGTTGTTCTTTGATTTTCTGTCTGTGCATTTCATCCGACTCTAAGGGTTTCATTTACCATTTGCGTCATTGTACTTAACGTTAAAAAATATCCTTATATTTGTGTAATTTTTTGCATAAATATAATTATAATAGTATTATAAGACACTAATAATAGTATTTTTGTCATTTCTCCTTAATTTGTTTTATATTTTTATATAATAATTAATATTCAAAGATCTAACCTGCAAAAAAATAAATGAGACTTTAGAGCTGGACAGAGGTAGTATAATTTTTTTATAAAAAATACTCAATATTTTAAATTAAAATATTAAATAAATGTATTTTTTAATAATTATTTTTATTTTTTTCATTATTTAATTATTACATTTTTTAAAAATATTATACTCCCTCCGTCCCAACTCAAAATACCATTTTTATTATTTTTGTTCGTCCCACTCCAAAGTATCAATTATCTATTTTAGTAAAAGTAATTATACGTCAATACGAAAATACCCTTAACTTTTACCTAAATTACAAACATACCATTACACGTATAGTTACATTTTACATAAAGTTTATCAAAATTTTTTATACACTTTCACTAATTAATAAAATATTATTATTTTTTAAAATCGCAAATGCCCTTTAAATTACTATTCAGATTTTAAAAAATAAAATAATATCGTATAGAGTTTTGGGTTAATAATAATTTTATAGGAGTATAAAAGAATAGGTGTAATGTCTTTTTAGAGTGTACAGACTAAGGCCAATAATTCTTGTTTAATTTGCTTGCATTGCTCAACAAAAAAATTATCCATTATATTTATTTATTTCTACGATTTATTTTAAACCACGTTCGTAATATAATAGGATATGTTTCACAACACATGTTATTTATTATTATTATTATTATAAAAAAATGTAAAATAAAAGTGGTGCCAATATATGTTTACTATAGAAGATAATCCCATTTTTATTTTATTTTTTACCGTCCCACCAGAAGATGATCGATTTCTATTTTTCATAAATTTATGGATGTTAAATATACTTAACAAATACTTCTTTCGTCCCATGTCTATATATCTATATGCTTTTTGCATGGAGTTTTAGAAATATTAGGATAAAGTAGAAATAAAGGTAAAAAGACTAAATTAACCCTATTCGTATTGCATGATATAAAAGTAATGATATTTGTGTAATATATTGTAAATTTGAAGACTATATTTAATGTTAGATAGATAGTACAATTACTAAAAAAGAAAATGAATATTTTGTTATGGGACGGACCAAAATGGAAAAATGGATAGATTGTAAGGGACGGAGGAGAGTATAAATCAATTTAATTGAACTTCTAACATCTTACACGTAGGATTTATTCAAATCCCTTTTATTTCTATCTCTCTCTTCGATTAACAAATATTTTTATCTACATTTAAAACTGCTCATTTTTTTTTATAAAACTAATTTATGGTAATGATAAATAAATAAATACATTTTTTTTTATTCATTTGTATTATATAAAATTTTATTGTCTACAAAATAATCCATATTGCATATATTTTATTGAGATATGATTCTAAAAATATTTAAAATATCGACAACATTACACATATAAAAAATAATAAAATATTATCATAACTTATTATTAATAACTTAATAACCTACGCTACCTAAAATACCGTGTCCGTAACAAAATGACTCATCTTTCACGGGACGAAGGAAGTATTATAAAATGTAAAATAAAACTATATATTAATACAAAATTGTTGTTGAAAATTTTGGTAATTTGACGTCTAACTCAATGGTCTCTCGATATATTAAAAATTGGGCTACTTCGTAGTCTGACTCACTGGATTACCCAAACTCCTTTCATATATCCTAAGCCCAAAATCAATCAATTTGATTAGGTAATTAAAGTGTAAAATCGTATATGTTTTGAGGGAGCTAGGAAGTTCGGTGAGTATAGAAATTTTTTTCGATGATCGATTCCGGTGAGTGTCAAGGCTTAGGATAAGGCGCCGCCGATCTCCAAATTTGAGGCGTTGATTACCTCAGGCCATTTTGCACCATGGACTGAGTTGAAATATGTTGTCTCTTTGTCGGAGAAAGAAGTTAGAAGAAAAAATCGACAAGTTTAGAGAACATCGGAGGTGTTACTCTCTATCCCGGGAAGACGCCGGAAAATTCGTGGACTGGAATCGAGATTTGATTCGAATTAGTGTTTAATTTTCTTTTTCGATTTGGTTTAGTTTGTTTTGAATTTTATTTGACTATTTTTTTTTTCTTTCATTAATTCATTATCGTATTTTATTACGAGATTTATTCGAATAATATAAATTCACTAGCAATTATAGCACATAATTCATGTCGGCAGTAGCAAAACAACGGCTCAATACCACATCAAATCATTAGTCATTACTTATTTATTTATTTATTTTTTTTAAAAAAAAACTGCTCAATTTGCAAAAATAAAACAGTAACTAACAAAATCTCATTGGTCAATTAACTGTAAAATGAAACAGTAACTGATCAGCCGACACGCATAGAGTTTTAATTGGACTATGTATAAATATTTATTATTATTATTATTATTATTATTATTATTATTTTTTTTTTTTTTTTTTTTTTTAATTCAATGTATTTTTATTTTATTATTTTCTCCTATTTTAATCAATATTATATTTTCTTTGTTATAATAAAAATAATTTATATATATATACATATAAAGCAAAACATTTCAAATTTTATAAAAATATTTATATTTTTTATATTTATAAAAATAAAAATATCATACATATTTTTATTAATTAATAAAATATTATTATTTTTTAATCTATTAAAATAATAATAATAATAATAATAATAATAATAATAACAGTGAATAGACCATCATTTTAATTTGTGTTACAGCCGCCAATTTGGCCGACACTGTGGTAGCCACCATCCCATGCACGTGATTGAATAGAAAATATATTCTTAAATCCATATCTCTAATACAAAGCTTGGGCGCCAATACGATACTAAGGTATATGATACTAAGGTATATGATACTAAGGTATACATTATACGAAATTTAAGGAATAATAGTATTAAATTAAAAATATGGATATAAAGTAAAATTATTCTGGTTTTACAAAGGGTTAAGAAATAGATTAAAGTGATAATTGTAGTAGCATTTATGTAAATATTATAAAAAAAATAAGGATAATTTGTTGAATAGTAGAGATCATCGTTACTACTTACTAAATAAAGATAAATTGTCGGACCTAGTTTGCAGGGTATTGGGTTCGGCCGGGGGTTTATCCAGTGCGCACTTTCGAGTAGCGGTTGCGGAAACACATCATCGAAAAAATAATAAATAAAAAAAATATAACAATTATTTTAGAACGAATAAAAATAAAAATACTCCCTCCGTCCCATAAGTAAATATCCATTTGTTTTTTGCACATAGTTTTAGAAATATTAGTATTATATTGGAATATAGTATGAATAAAATAGAAATTACTAAAACAACCTTATTAGTAAGTGTGGTATAAATGTAATGACATTTGTGTAATATATTGTAAGTTGTAAGGGTATTTGTAATATAGTACATTTACTTAAAAAAAAAAAATGGATACTTCGTTATGGGACTAAAATGAAAAAATAAATAATTTATCATGGGACGGAGGAAGTATATAGTAATTCAACAGTGCTACCCTTATCTCTATATATAGTAATTCCAATGTACCATTTTTTCTTGTAAGCAATTGACATATATAAAATCTTCTAAACATCTTTCGGCCACAAAAATGGCTTCTCCATACATTTCAACAATTCATCTAAATTCTCTCTTCATTTTCTCTGCAATTCTCATCTCTATTTTCACTCAAATTACGAGCACCGCCGCGCCGCAACCTCGTCCGACAACCCTAATCCGGCGAGTTTGCTTCAACACGACCCTAAAAATCGAGCCCAACTTGTGCGTCGAAATTCTTCAATCCAACCGACAAGTGGCATCCGCGAAAACCCTATTGGGCTTATCCGTGGCCATAATGAAAGCGGGGCGAAGAAATGCGACAAACATGCGAGAGTATGTCAAGAAACGACTCAAACGCTTTGCATCGGATCCCCGAGTTAGGGCTTCCCTAGGGGAGTGTAGATCTTCTTACAAGATGGTTTCCGTGTCGTTTAGAAATGCGCTTGTCTCCGTGAGGGACGACAATGAGTATTTGTCGGCGACTTATGAACTACAAGTGGGGATCGCCGATCACCTCAAAAAGTGCGTGGAGGCGCACGTCGAAGATGGGGAGATTTCGAGGGGAAATGCCGCGTTGCGAGTGTTCTTGGTTTCGGCGTTTGAGGCTTTGAATCGTCTCTAGATAGAGTTTTTATTGTTGCCGCTATCGCCATCACCGTCGCCGTTGTTTTGGAATTATATAAGAATGTGTATGTTTTTGTATTGTACGTTGCCTTTTTCGATCATGTCTATTTGTTCTGTATGATTTTACTGTTGTTATTTCTATGTAGGAAATCAAGTTGTCGATGAATTTCTAATTATATTTGAATGATCGAACCGGTTCTTGGTTGTGCATGTTCGTGTGGCTAGTGTTCTTGTATGTTCGAATGAAATATAAGATAATTTTGAAATTTTTTTATATATAAATTAATTGTATCTATAAATATATCTTTGTAATTTATATAAATATTAATGGATATTTTAATATTAATGTGTGTTTATTTTACTCTAATAAAAACTAAATATTTTTTTAATGAGACAGACCAAAATAATAAATATGATATTTAAATTGGAATAGAGGTATTAAAATATACACATATATTAACATAATATATTATACATATTTTATTTACACAATTATATAATATAAAATATTATTTTTTATATTACTAACATAATTTCTCATATTTGACATAGAAAATATTAACACTCCTTCTCATCCGTCCCATAACAAAGTATCAATTTTTCTGTTTTAGTCAGTTCCATAACAAAGTATCAATTTTTCCGTTTTAGTCAGTTCCATAATAAAGTATCAATTTTTTTTAGTAACTGTACTATCTACTTAACATTACAAATACCTTTACAACTTACAATATATTACACAAATCATTACCTTTATATCACATAATACTAACAAGGTTATTTTAGTCATTTTTAGTTTATTGTTACTATATCCAATATAATACTAATATTTCTAAAACCACATGCAAAAAGCAAACGAATACGTAGTTATAGGACGGAGGGAGTAAAAGATATAATATATACACACAATTACATAATATAGATAATATATACTCCCTTCATTCCATAACAATAGTCTCATTAGTGGCGGTAGCCACAGTCAACACTGTGTTGAACAACATATCGTGTGCTATTAAACAACACATAATATTACTACAAAAACACACTGTATATGCTAATATAATACAAATACAACACATGAACAACACACAATATTATTATAGACAACACAGTATTACTACATGTATATGTTAATATAATACAAATACAACGCATGCTATAGTCTCATACATCACATACAACAATTATTTTAGCACATGACATATTTGTATACAACACACTTGTTATTATTAAAAAACAACACATATATTTATTATACATACCATGTGTAATCCTAATGTGTGTTGTTTGCATATATGACGTGTGCTGACGTGAAAACTCAGCGTCGTAACCATCCCCACATTTAGGTTTTATACAAAATTTAAGAAATAATAATATTATATTAAAAGTGGGGTATAAATAGATAGTAAAACACTAAAATGACCTTATGAGTATATTAGTGTAAAAAGTAATAGGATGATAAAAAAAAAAAAAATTAGAGATATTTTTCAGATGATATAATTATTTTTGAAAACGAGACTATTGTTTTTGAGACGGACAAGTATATTCTATTTTTTTCAAAAAAATTAATAATTCAAATTTAAAACATTAGTATTTATTATATTAGCAACAAAACTGTCGCACAATCTATGGCTTGGCTTATATATCAAAGCTAATAATATCAGTGAAAACATTTGAATCATTTATTAGTGCAACAAAGAAGAGAATTAATGCATATCAACAGCGAAAAACAGTATCAGCAAGCACTGAAAGAGGCATAGAGAGGATTTCCAAACAGATCTTCAACTTCATGGATAGAGATAGATCAGAAACACAATGTTTAGCAGACCTTACCTGCTATAAAAGACGTCGGCCCGGCCGCCTGAATTTATTTACACGTCGAGCAAATGTGTAGGAACTTAGACAGGAACTCGCCGAGGTTTCTGCTGGGCAAAGTACTGCAGCAAAGATGAATGAAAAGGAGGAAGCAGCCAAAGTGAATCAAAAGTTCTAGCAAATCCAATCTCTGTCTGTTAAGGGACTTTTACTTTCGATGATAACTTACTCGTAAAGATTAAATTATCATCAAAAGTAAAACTCCCTTTCATGGCATCGGAACATCAGCCCCATCATCCAAAGTGATGTATATATACAAAACATGTATGTATACATTATATACATATATATTTGACGGGGCAGGGTGGGGCCGGGAATGATAGGGCCAGTGATCCCCTCCCCCCCTTTCATGTTTGTATTCGACAGTAGACTTATCTGTTTTTCTGCTCAGATTTCTTGATCAGTATCCAAATTATGCAATTAAAGGAGAGTAACATATAGGTTACTAACAATGAATTCTTGAGTCCAATATAATCGATTTATCTGTTTTTTTTGTTAGATTTCTTGATCAGTATCCACATATTTTGGTATATATATATATATAACTTAGGGAGTGATCATGCAAAATTGCAAATTATGATTGCAATTAAATGAGCGTAACATAGCAATGAATTATTGAATCCAGCATGATTTATAAAAGTATTATGTCTAGTTACCGCGGGAACGTAGGGTTGGCGCAGCGTCCAACCGAGGATTGGCAGCTTCCTACAAAAATTTGCTACTGTTGGCCAGAATCCACTGCATGTGAAAAAGATAGATCTGCAAATGTTAGGCCAATCATGTAGGAAATCGAATCTGGTGAACATATGAACTCAAATTTACCTGAAAAGGACAATGAGACCATATGTCTCCACAATCATTCCAACAATAGGCCATCCGGTGATCACAAAGAAGAAACCAACACCAAAAGAAAATGAACCCTGTCCAGATGTCGGAAATCAGATAATGAGATCGAAAGAAAGGAATAACTAGAAGGGAGACCAATTTGGTTCTGAGCATAGGACCTTATAGTTCTGGGGTTTCATGGAGAATTGAAGGGCGGACTTTGGTCCGATAGCCAAGATCAGTCCAGAGAGAAAGAGTATCTGGCCAACACAAGAATCACAGTGCAATCAATAGGGGAATTAACAGAAAAGGGAAATGTCGATTAAGATAATTGAGATTGAAGTTTCTTACATTGCCAATGGCAAGAAAAGCCTTATCAAAGAAAAGTAATACTCCAATCAAAGTGAATATAACACCAAATCCAGTCAGTCCTAGTCCAATCTCTATCGACAGGTACAAGAGGGTGATCAATGGATCGAACATTTAGGAATTACCATTAAAGAGACAGAAGGTTTCAAAACAATAGTACAGGAAACCAAGAGGATAAAGCAACTAAAATATGATTCAGGAAGGATAGCATTTGCACATAAGCTTTTAAGAATCAGACTAATGTGAAAAGACTTTCAAAGAGAGATCGAGATTAATTTGAACATGAGAGTTTTCAACTTCTCCAAATCAAAATAAGTGGAAAGTATATCAAGATTGTTGTAATCTGACCTACAAGTCCTTCATTAGTTTTCTCAAGCATGGAAGAAACCTGTCGATATCAGTTTACTTCTAAAAAGAATTGTGCTAGTGATGATTCTCTTCGAGTGAAACTGTAAAACAGAGCATTCTGATGACAATTTTCAGCACATTTGATTCTAAATATTCCGGAAACAAACAAGTTGTAGGTTATTCAACACATAATTACCATGGCACAAATCCAGGTGATTTCCATAATTAACATCATACAATCAACAATAACATTGAAAATCCCTGAGTTTTTGAATTTGAATAACAAAGTTCATACCAACATAGAAACAATTGAATTTAAATGCTTACTTCTCAGATCACTAGACTCGAAAGAAACCATGTTCTTGACAGCAATGTGGTACTTCAGCAGCCAATCTTTCTACACTTTCTGCACATCATCAGAAAGCACAAAGTATAATAATGCCAATCAAATAATTAATCGCCTTAGAGGCTGCAATTTCCACTCCATCATTCAGAAAGAAAATGAAATTACCACCAAATGTACATTAACCCTACATTAAGAAATTAAATAAAGGAAATGTAACATCAATTCTCGACATTAAAGCCTTTCTCATTTCCTTTTTTCTAGTCTTCATCAGAAACCGAAAAAAAATGAAGATCCAGTCGGATTCCAAATTCTAATTATCCTGGAACTATACTTGCATTAACGATGTCAATTTACTTAGACGAACTCAACTCAAGCAATAAAGCACGAAGCATGAACCAATTGAAAACAAAATGGTTGTGCGCGAGTGCGATCGAGATTGCTGCATTTGCACAACTAAGCATGTAACCATACTCGAAATTAATCGCGCAGCAGAAAGGTATTCCACGACGTGGCGTATGAGATGAAAACCAGAAAGTATTCTGAGAAGAAGAATTGGGAGGAGGAGTAGTTACCTTCAGTTTCAGTTCTTCGCACTCTCTATCAGCTGCGTTCGTTGTGTTGTAACTGTGAAGCTCAGCGGTTACAATTTACAAGCATTTTCAAATGGGAAAATTATATAGCACCTATTGTATTGTATTTTTAGTAAAGATAAAAAATGATGTTACGTTTTATTTAGTGCGTGAAATTGATTGTGTTAATATAAAGTTTGCATCAAATATTTTTTTTTTTAAAATTGATATTTAGTTATTTAAATTATATAAGTTTTATACAAATAAAAAATACAAAATATCTTAAATAATTTTTTTTGTATTAAATAAATAATTTATTAATCCTTCATTTTTATAGTTTTTTGCGACAAATTGTTGTCTGATTTTTATAAAAATTATAAAAATAAATAATTGATTTATTTATTTTATTCAAAAAAAAATTATTTAAGCTATTTTATGTTTTTTATTTGTATAAAACTCTTTATTTTGAACCAAACATCAATTTTAGACCAAAAGGATGTTTCATGCAAATTTTCCATTAACACATGGGAGTTTCATGAAATAAATAAAATACATGATGTTTTATGCATTTTTAGTAAAATACTGATGTGTTATATAATTTATTCTTTTAAAAAATAAAATAAAAATAAACTATAAACATTTAAATCAAATAAGTAGGTTTTTATCTTAATATTTTGTAATTACCCCTCGTGTTTGCGACAAAACTTACGAGTTTTCATAAATTATATATTTAATATTAAGAATATTTTTATAACTTACAATATACTTCCTTCGTCGTCCAATGGTGTGTTCGTTTGATCCGACACGAATTAAAAAATAAATAAATAAAAATTAAAAAAAAAATTGGGTAAAAAAAAAGTAGAAAAAGTAATATTTGCTTACTAAAATAACGAAAATAAATTTGAATGACACATCCTGACATTACCTTTGTATTATACAAAATTATTTTTGCCATTTTAGCATTATTCCTACTTCATATCCATATAATACTAGAAAAATGTATTTGAATACTTCTTTTTTTTTTTAAGGAACAAAAAGAATACCAAGGGTGTGTTTGTTTGGGTGTTTGGATTTTGAGTTGGGATTTAAGGGTGTGTTTGTTTGGGTGTTTGGATTTTGAGTTGGGATTTAAATAGTAAAAATTTTGAATTTGAATAGTTGTATGATGTGGTATAAATAGGTGTTGATGTGACGTTTTGAATGTAAAATTAATTTTTAGTATAATACTAAAAATAAAAAAATAAGTGTTTGATTTGATATTTTTGGGAGAAAAATTTTGGATGAATAAACACACCCTAAATATATTTTACTGTATATATTTGATTAAATCTAGTTTATTGGATTAATTTTAAATTTAGTAGTCCTTGTAGCAATGAGTGGACATATACGTGGGTGTGTCAATTTTATTAAATTATTAAAATTAATTGTTGTTATTAAATATATAATATATATAAAGTTTTAATATGAGAATTATTTGAATAAATTTAAATATTTTACATGATAATTTTTTTAGTATTTTAAATATTAAAATTAATAGATTTTATCGGTTAAATATATGTTGTAAAAATAATGTCTATATATAATTTAGTAGTATATATATTCATTTTTCTATAAGTAATTTTTAAAATTATAATTTAGTTGAAAATTATATCGATAAAAAATTTAAAATATTTGAACAAAACAAAAGTCAAATTTCATTAATTTGTTACTGTTATTTTAATATAATTAAATTATAAAATATTTTCTCCGATCAAAATAATTATTTCATATTTTTTATCAGTCAAACTTATGCATAATTTATTTATAATAAAAATTTATCCATTCACAATTTTATTATCCTTATTTAAACAAATAATGATAAAATTTGTTACCATTTTTCTACTTACTCCACTATAATATCCTCAATTTATTTTTTTAGTTATCTCACATTTTGCATTAAAAAACAATTACCTAAAAAACCATACAAATATACTTTAGGATAATAAAAAATCTACGAAAAAAATATTATTTAAAGACGTCTAATTAATTAAGAAAATAAAATATAATTTAATTATATATTATACTTTGTGGAGGAATCCACCGTCTAAAATTTTTTTAAAAATATTATATTTGTGGTGGGACTCACCATCTAAAAATTTAAAAAAAAAAAAATAAAAAATAGTATATTTGTAATGGAATTTATAAAAAAAATTTAAAAAAAAAATAGAAAAAACTATGTTAGCCACGTGCCAACACAAAATCAAGGGTAAATATATATATATTAGATTTTTTAATATTAAAAATATTAATTTTTATATATTTATATACAATTTATTTCTCAAAATTGTCTAAATTTATATATAATTATGTAATTATTTTTTATTTAAATTTATTAGTTAAATATTAAATAAATTATAACATTTTGTCCCCGAAATTTAGATGCTAATTTTGTCACTAAGTATCAAAATAATATTCTATCCATTATTATACCATATAAATAATTATAAATTAAAATTAATATAACTATATAATTTAATTAAGATTAAAAAAAATATCAATGTGGGACGGAGGGAGTAGCTTGTTGCGAAAAATATCAAAAAATAAAAAAGAACAAACAAGGACACAAGAATACTAATTCAATCATTTACGACGCTGTAAAATCAAAAATTTTACTATATAATATGCAAAAACACATATAAAACTGAGAATACATAAATATTTATAACTTAAGCCTAATAATACTCAAATCATATATGTTTAGAATATACTACTCTCTTCGTCCGCCTGATCGTGTTTTTGTATTTAACATTAAAAATATATTTATTTGTAAATCCTTGGGAAGCAACCGTCTTCATTTTACAGCTCGTGATTTGCTTATTTATTTACGTTTGACCCTCGGATAATGGGTATTATTGTATTTACCCCCAGAATTTCTCCAATATTGCGCTTAGATCCAGCTGCATTGATTAAGGATCTCGTCGAGAATTGAACTGAACAAACGCGCAAATTCGTCGTTCGGACCGTCTCCACATTTCTCGGCCAAGTTTCCGATCATTTTCCGACGAGATCGCCAACTATCCGTCGGAATAGAAGTGGTATTCGGTTGGATTTGTAAGGTCCGATCATGGCTCCTGTTTCGGCTCTTGCTAAGTACAAATTGGTGTTCTTGGGGGATCAGTCTGTCGGTAAAACCAGCATTATTACACGGTTTATGTACGACAAATTCGATAATACTTATCAGGTGCGGGAACGGATGCATGATGGAGTTGCGGTTTAGCTTTTTCAATCTCGTTTTGATTTAGTAGGGAGTGCGGATCTGAATTCGATTAGGTCTAGGCATTCTCTTTAATCCTTGCCATTGAATTTTCTGTACTTTTAGTTGCGGAGATTCTTTTCTCAGTGTTGTTAATCAAAAATTTCAATTTGTTTGACATATGCGCTGATAAGAGCTTCTGAAACGCTAGAAGATTCTTAGGATTATCATTGTTGATTATAACTAGTTTTCTAACAATATCTTTTGCTGATCGTTGTTGGTTTCTCATCCTGTCAAATTTATGAAGAAATCTTGCAAGTTAGATAGTTAGGACTTGGAGGAAGTATGCTGTTTTGAAATTTGTTATTGAAGGACATTTGTATTCTTGATTAGAAATTGGATTCCAGATTATACTCAAAAGGTAATGATGAACGCTTCAAAAAGTGCTTTCATTCTTCCATATGAAATAAACCTTCAATAATTTGTTGCAGACCACTTGTAAAGTGAGCTAACTTTTCCCGTAGCCATCAATTTGGTAATATAGGAATTGATCAGGCCCTGTTCATTTGGGATAGAAAGTATCACTTTTTTAAGGATGAGATTCAGACTCTCATATAAAGCCAATCTAATGGGCTCCATCCTCCATATACAAAGTCTTGAATGGATTGAATTGGGAAGAATAGAAGCACTTACTCATAGTATAGTATCTTCTAGTAGAAACTTCTGTTGAGTCGAAGTTGTTGGCACCCGTTAGTTTCGAATAGAATGGAGTCCTTGTAGGAACCATCTTATGGCTTATAGAAAAAGAATTAAAAGTTTATGCATTCAAAATTAAATTTAATTATCTTTTGCATTCATTTATCCCCAGTCTTATAGAATGAAGCCTGGGCGCTGCGACAAGATAGAAACTCTGTAGGCTTACCCAAGGATGCCGACGAATGCTCCCTTAACATCTAGTTGGCTTATGCTTGTCTAGTCTTCTTATTCAATAGAGGAAAAAAAAATTTACCTGTCATTTGCAGCACCTCATTAGATTCCTTTCTGGTCCATTATCCATTTTCATGTGCCTTAATCTTTCTGCTCTTCAAATATTGAAAACAAAAGTAGCTAAAAGAACAGCTAGATTACTAAGAAAATTTCCTAATATCTGGTGTTTTTGCGATTGATCTTTTCTTTAGGCTACAATCGGTATTGATTTCCTCTCCAAAACAATGTATCTTGAAGATCGGACTGTTCGCTTGCAGCTGTGGTAAGAGATTTTTGTTGCCATGAAATTAATGGATGCATCCTCAGATTTATTCAGCATTATGCTCTGATTCATATATATTTCTCTCAATTTATATTGCAACTCATTTCTGTAGTACTTTATTTTCAATTGATACTAATTGTCAAAAATTAATAAATGATCGTCACTGCCAAACTTCATTCGGTTAATTCAGTGCTTGCCCTTGCACATGCCTAGCAATTTCTAATTTTCCTTTTGTCATCTAACATATTTTGCAATTCACTTATGTTAATCTATGTTTTTGGCCCTGGAAGAATAATATTTTCACCTTTTGCAATCAGGGATACTGCTGGACAGGAAAGGTTTAGGAGTCTTATTCCAAGCTACATAAGAGACTCGTCAGTTGCAGTCATCGTATATGATGTTGCAAGTAAGGAGTTCTTTCTCATATTTATGAATATACACTTTCATACAATCTGATTCGAAATTTAGGTTTAAGGTTTCTTGAATGATGTGTTATTTCTGCATTCGATTGTGGTATTTCATTGGCTATCAGGCAGGCAATCCTTTCTCAACACTTCAAAGTGGGTTGAGGAGGTTCGTACGGAGAGAGGAAGTGATGTCATTATTGTTCTTGTGGGCAACAAAACTGATCTTGTGGACAAGAGGTAAAGATTTTTTTGTCTATTTCCGTGTCTTAATTTCCATTTCCCCTCTTACAAGCATTCTGACCGTCTTCTTATTATATGTGTCCTTCCGTTGATTACCATATATTGAGGAATCATTTTGATTATTATGTGACGAAGAAGAGAAAGACCATTATAGAAGTGTAAAGTGGTGTGTTGAATTCATTATAATGGTTGGATATTACTTAAGAATGTATTATTAACTGAGTCTTTGGTAGTGTGTTTGTTCTACTACTACCAAGTATGAAATCGTCGTCTAAAGAAAAACAGAATGGGAGTTGATTTCATTAGTTTTGTACTATTGCATTGGTTTTAATACATAAACTAAACTACTTGGCTGCATATCTGCTATTTTAGATATATGACAATATTTATTTCCTAACTGCAGGCAAGTTTCAATCGAGGAAGGAGAGGGCAAAGCCCGCGATCTCAACGTCATGTTTATTGAAACTAGTGCTAAGGCTGGATTCAACATAAAGGTACTTACTTACACTGCAGTAGGGTTGTAAATGAATCAAATAATTTTGTTCGATTTGATATTCGATTCGAAAATTTATGATTCGAATTCAAATAAAAATATTCGAATATGAATCAAATACAAATATGAAATTTTAATATTCGATTCGATATTTGTAAATATTCGATTAGATAATAAAAAATATATATATAGTATAAAATATAATATACATAAATATGTATTTTCCAATAAAAATAAATTAAACTAAATTTATTAATAAAAATATTACATAAATAAATATAATATAATTAAAACTATACTTATATAATGATATTTTTATTTATATTAAAAGAAAGAAGTTTTTTTTGTCAATGTGAAAAAATAATACATAATAAATATGTATACTTTTTATTAATTTTTTTTATATATTATTATTAAAAATTTTAATTAAAAGTAGTTCGAATCGAATCAGATAAACTAAAAACGAATCACATCTTGAATCAAATATTTGTATAATATTGAAATCCAATCGAATAATGTAAAAACTATTTTGAATTGAATACGAATATCATTTTAAGATTCGAAAAGAATTGAATAGTCGAATATTTTTTTTGAATCGAATGGAATACTGCAGTATTCGATTTGATTCGATTCGTTTACAATCTTACACTGCATTATTCTTTTCCCCCAAATTCTTATTTGCCATGCGGATCATTTCCTTTCGAAATAAATGGTGTTTGTACTTGTCAAATGTCAATATTGCTGAATTACCCTTTATAACAAACCTTGGATCCCGACTTTTCCTTTCAGCCATTGTTCAGGAAAATCGCTGCAGCCCTTCCCGGAATGGAAACTCTATCATCAGCGAAGCAAGAAGACATGGTCGATGTCAACTTGAAATCGAGCAATAATAATGCCTCTCAGTCGGGACAACAGGCAGGAGGGTGTTCCTGCTGATCACATGAACTTCGCGCAATTTGTAAAGTGCTCATTACTGTTATTCCTTGCTTCGAATTTTGTTTAAAAATTTTGAAAGAGTATTCTCATTCGGATACAGTATTCATATTATTGTTGTTCGAATATATATATATATATATATATATGTTGAGACAAAAATTTTGAATGAAAGACATAAGTTATATATATGAGTTTAATTAATGCTGGTAACAATCAATCCTCTGAGATCTTTTCTAGCAAAGTGAAGGGACAGGGAGGAAGATGATGTTGGGACAACATTGGACATGAAGGAGCAGCATGTCGAAGATGCGATTACGAGGGTTGTTTCTAACTTCGTCGATGCATTTCATACCTCTCGATTCTCCGGGGCTTCGATTCTGCACCAATTATCTGGTAAGAATTCAGCTGCTGTTCTTGATGCATTTGTTCATTGCTATTTCTTCAATTTTCCTTTCTTGAAGATTATTTTTGTTTTTTTTTTTTTTGTTTTGGTGAATTCTTTTGTGTTGTAGTTTGATTTGTGTGTTTATTATTGTTATTTTATAATTTGGATCATTTCCAAATTGTGAAATTTATTCAAAATGCATAGAAGGATCCAAATTATTCTAACTTCTGCCCATATCTATCTATCAGTTTATTTTTATTTTTTTTTTGCACGAAATTTAAAAAAGATTAGTTAAAAAGACTAAACTAATATTTGTATTTTATGATATAAAAATAATGACATTTGTGTAATATATTATAAATTAGAAGGATATTTGTAAATTATTTTTAAAAAAATGGATACTTAGACAGACAACATGGAAAATAGATAGATTATTAAGGAACTAATGGAGTATATATGTATACATATACTTAAAAAGAGTATATTACGTTTGTTTTGTGTTTTGGTTTGGAGGTTTTTTTTTTTTTTATATGTGAAATACAAGAAATTGTGTCCGTTGCATAGATAATATAAAAATAATTTATGTATGTAATATATTAATTTTTTTTGAAAAAATATGTTTGAAAAATTATGTGTAAAAGAACACAGGCTTGGTGTTTTATTATTATTACTCCATCCGTCCCATAACAAATTATCTATTTTTTCATTTTAGTCCGTCTTATAATTATTTTTATATTACATATAATAATAAGGTTATTTTAATTATTTCTACTTTATTTCTACCATATCCCAATATAATACTAATATTTTTAAAATTATGTGTAAAAAGTAAATGAATATTTAATTTTGGGACGGACGGAGTATTATTATTATTATTCTGTACCCATGCTTACTTTAGAGCATGTGATCAATCGCATTTAGCAATCATAAATATGCGTACAAGACCTACTATTATTTAAGGGTGTGTTTGTTTGGGGAATTTTTCCAAAATTTTATTCATTTTTCTTCTCTAAAAAATATTAAATCAAACACATTTTTTTATATTTTTTATATTATATTAAAAATTAATTTTACATTCAAAATATCACATCATCGTCTATTTATAACATTACATCGTACAATTATTCATATTCAAAATTTTTACTATTCAAATCTCAATTCAAAATTCAAACTCCCAACCAAACATAGAAAAGAACAAAATTTATTAGTTAGAAAGTAAATTTAATTTGAATATAAAGTCATGCCTCAAGATATCCGGTGGGCTGATCCGACCCGGGCCAAAACCATGCTACTCTGTTTTGAATAGATGTATGATGTGATATAAATAGGTGGTGATGTAATATTTTGAATGTAAAATTAATTTTTAGTATAATATAGAAAATAAAAAATAGGTATTTAATTTGATATTTTAGATGAAAATTTTTTTAATGAATAGTAAAAATTTTAACAAATACTCCAAACACACGCCAAGTGACCTCTTTCTTGGTCCAAGTTTTTAGAATCGGACGGGATCCCATCTCGGTCCAAAATTGGCCTAAACTATTTAACCCATAAAAATAATTTTTTATTAAAGTAAATACTACCCCACGATCTCGGATCTATCTATCTATTTATTTTTTATACGAAAGTTTATAAATATTAATATTATATTATGATATATAGAAATAAAGGTAGAAAGATTAAACTAACTTTATTAGCATTGCATGATATAAATGTAATGACATTTGCATAATATATTGTAAATTAGAAGGGTATTTGTAATGTTAGCAGATAGTACAATTACTAAAAAAAAAAAAAAGAAATAAATACATTGTTATAGGATTGATCAAAATGAAAAAAATAGATAAATTATTAAAGGCCGAAAGAGTATTAAATATATAAACATATCATAAATAATACTTCCTCTGTCCCAACACAATAGTCTTGTTTACCATTTTTGTCCGTCCCAAAACAATAATTATATTTTTATAAATAACCATATCACCATAAAACTGCCACTACTTGTTATACTAATATACTCACAAGGGCAAAAAAGTCATTTATTCATATTTTTTACCAACTACCAATATAATATCAATATTCTTTAAATCTCGTGTCCAACCTAATTAAGACTATATTTATTTCTTTGATCTACTATAACCGTCCCACGAGAAGAGTACCATGACCTTTTTATATTCTTATTATATCAATATGTAATCAAAATCAAACGAAAATGACAAAAACACCACTATTAGTCTCTTATAATATAAATACAATGACATTTGCGAAGTAAATTATATAAATATAATGATATTTTTAACTTTAAGTACAATAACACAAAAGACAAATATTATCATTTTTATGGGACGGAGGTAGTATATTATATTCACGTCAAAAATTCAAATTATTATTATTTTAAAAAAATATTCATTATAACATCGTCACTTTCATCCACAAATACAAATGCATCCAAAAATTTTAAATTATACTCCCCCTATTCACAAACTAAATGTGTTATATTCTTATTTGAAATATCCAACAATTATTATTTTTTTTTTTAAATTTTTATATACAAATTTACTCTTTTGCTCTTACTTTATTTACTATTTTTTTTTCATACGCAAAATTAAGGACAAATTTATTATTTTATAACAAAAATTCTAATTACTTAAAAATATATGTAAATATGAAATAATACATTAGAAAATATAAAATAGGAGCATATAATTGAAACCCTTACCAATTTTTCATTGAAAATTTCTACCATTAATGTTTTGGTGGATTGATTTTAATTATTATAAAGTGTCACACTCAATTTCTATTTCTTTTATTTTATTTTTTTGTCTTATTCAATTATCAACTTACTTACGTGTAATATAATATATTTTTTAAGAAATAAAAATCCATTTGACTTTTGTTTACTTTTGAAACAATCTTATCCTAAAATATTTAATTACACGAAAGTTGTATTTTTGTCAATAATAAAAATTCAATACTTTATGTAATAATTATATGCTTTATTTATTTATTAATTTATAATTTTTTTATGCACAAATAAAACTAAAAGACAAAAATATCCTAACCAACTCTAACCACTGCTTTTATGTTAAGGTTTCTTGTTTTTATTACGTCAATTTAATAGCAATTTATTAAAATTTCAAATAAAACAGTGCAATGATATAAATTAAATATTTATCTAAAAAAATAATAATTAGGTGGGAAGAAAAATTATGGGAATTAATAATAATTGTGACGTCTCAATAATATTTGATAAATAAATGACATTAAGGAAATTTAAAGGGTGGATCCATCTATACACCTTTTTTTAATTATTGAAAATATAAAGTCTGTTAATTAATTAATTAATTTAGTTTAAATATATTTTAAAAAACTAAAATTAATGAAAATATATTGCATTTTTTTCGAATAAAATATGTATCGATGTGGTGATGTATTTATTAAGTGCTTTTTTGTTTTTAAATTTTTTCTGTATATTCTATATTTATTGAAAAATAGAAAAGGAAAAAGAAAAACAGAGAAAAAAAAAACACGCAGCATAGGCAAATTGAAATAAATTTAATTTAGATAATATTTAAATTTAAATATTCAATTAAAAAATACTGTATATTTATACAATTTAAAATAGAAGTAATTATAATTTAAAACTCAAATGAGAGACGTAAAGATCCTCTATATATATAAAGTAAATAAATCAATAATAATAAATACGTAATGGACAGTTGAATGCATTTAAAATTGGTTGTCGGAAAATTAAAATAATTAAATTTTCCCACAACATTCCACTACACAAAATTAAATTTGTCACACACATAAAAATAATTAATTATTGTAAAAATAATTAATTATTTCCTAACCCACAATTTCACCACTAACCCCACCCTTTCGCGGAAATTCTTATTCGCCCACTTTCGCTCTCATCCCTCTCACTCTCTCTCTACAAATCCCCAAAATTGTAGACAAAGAAGACAAAAAGCCACACAAACAAACACCCAACATATCTATACATACAAAAAATTTGTATCTATAGCTGTCGATGAGGTGCAAGAAGCACGCCGCCGCCGCCGGCAGCGGCGTCTGCGCAACCTGCCTCCGGGAACGCCTCTGCGTCGTAATGGCGGCGGAGGCGGCGGCGCAAGTCATGGTCCGGGACCAGAGTCCGCGTCGGTGCCACCGCTCCTCCGCCGCCACGTGGCTGCCCAAAGGCGGCCACCCGCCGGCGGCGGCCGTCGACGTTGGGAACGATAGGAAGAAGACTGGTCGGAGAATTACGTCATGGTTTTGGAGGCTATTCGGATCCGGTCCGGATTCGGATCAGGGTCTGGATCCGAATCCGGGTACGGGTCCGGGCGATTTTGTTAAGGCTTCGCCGCATTGGTTTTCCCCGATCGTCGCCGGCCGCCGGAGGGAGCCAGGCGAGGCGGCGAACGAAGGTACGGCTGGCGGCGGGAGGAAGCTCCGCCGCGACCGGCGCCGGGGAATGTCGCCGGAGAGATGCTCCGACGAGGAATCGAGCGGGTACTCCTCGTCGGAGTCGTCGCAAGGGTGGAGGCAGACGCCGCGGAGGACGGCGGCGCCGGGGCGGCGGTGCGGTGGGAAGACGGCGGGTCAATGCAGGGCTGTCTCCGGGCTGGGCTTTTGCCTGAGTCCTTTGGTTCGGGCCAGCCCGAACCGGCAATGGAACCAGAAAGGATTCCCGCCAGAGATGGCGGGGGAGTCCAGACCGCCGGCGAAGATGCAACTCTCCGACTCCGGTTCGCTTTGCAAGAACCGGTCGCGGAAGCTCGCCGATATCGGGCGGTGGAGCCACCACAACCGCCGCCATTGATTCAGTCTTCGGACATTTGACTTTTAACAACTTTGACCTTTGGCAATATCGCAGTTCTACTTCTGCCCCGTTTGATATTTATTTATTATTGTTGGATTTTCCTCTTTCGAAAATGGGCACATAAGATTTTTACAGAATAAAAATAGATATTTTTTATTATAAGATTTTTTTTTTTCATTCCAATTCACTTTATAATTTTTTTTTTTATTACTGTATTATTTTTATTCGTGCAATTCAAAATCTCAGTCAAGTCACATATGACTTCTTTTTTCTTTTTTTTTTTTTGTCACTTTTTTTATTTTTAATAAATTATTTCATTTTAAACATATTGAATAAATATTAATCAATTTAATTATATTGTTAGCCATATAAACCACTCAAAATTCATTTATTTCTAATTTTCAAAAAATAAATATTTTTATCTATATTTAAAAATTTTCATTTTCTATAATATTAGGTTTAAGTTAAATATAAATAAATAATTTTTTATTTATTTATTTGTATTATATATAATTTTATTATCTACGAAATGATATGCATATTACATATATTTGATTGAAATATAATACTAAAAATATTTAAAATATTAACAACACTATTCATATAAAAAATAATAAAATAATATCATAACTTATTATTAATAACTTATTAATCTAAATTACCTAAAATACAATGTCAATTACCAAAAGATCCATCTTTTCCGGGACACGGAGGGAGTATTTGTTTTTAATTATAGTGAAATAATTATATTTAAATACTCCATCCGTCTTACATTGCATGTTCGGTTACTGTAGACAAGTAAATTTAAGATAAACATAATTAGTAAATAATTAAAATTCTATTGATGAAAATAATTATCCTATAAAAAAAAAATTGAACATTTTACATTAAAAGTAACGAGTAATAACTAAATTGCCCTATTTTTTCTTTTTACACTATTGATTCCGTTTCAAAACAATAGTCTTATTTTATTATTTTCGTTCATCTAAAAACAATAATGTCATTTTCATTTTTGGTAACTATTTCCCCAACTTTTTACAAATCTATCAACTATTTTTTACAATAATTACCTAAATTAGGACATTTTAATCTTTAATAAACAATTTTTACATTCACTATCAATATAATATTATTATTTTTTAATTTTTGTGTCAATCCCAAATATCCTTGTTATTTTGGACCGAAGAAAATATTAATTTATTATCAACTCTTTAATAAATATTTATATGTAGTACCATTTTTATTTTTATTTTTATCTATCCGAGTTTTGCATTAAATATTATTCCCTCCGTCTCATATCTATATATCAATTTACTTTTTGTACGAAATTTTAGAAATATTAGTATTATATTGGAATATAGTAGAAATAAAGGTAAAAAAACTAAATTGCCCTTATTAATATTTTATATGATATAAAAGTAATGACGTTTGTATAATATATTGTAAATTAGAAAGGTATTTGTAATATTAAGTAGACAATACAGTTACTAAAAAAAATAAAATTTAATAGTTTGTTATGGAACATAGGAAAATAAAAAAATAGATAAACTGTTAAGAAACGAGGGAATAGTATTTTTTAAATTCATAACAGAATAGTAATAGAATAGAATATCAGACTATATTTTTTTTATTATTATATATATATTTATTAATATATCTTAAATATACTAATTTATTAAATTGGGCCGGATCATGCCACAATCCGATTTTAATGGGCCGGAATGCCCGGTTCATTTCGAATTTATCTTTTAGGCCCAAGCGTACTTTTTCTGTGCCGGGTGCGGGTCGGAACCGGTTATAAATTATAGGTCCGCCGCCAATCGGAAAGTCCAGATTGTCAATCATCGCCGGCGGATAGCGATTAACCTAAGCTCGAAAATGGAAGCTGGGAGCACACCTGTGGACCTCTTGGCTGGAGCGTCCCTTAATCCGAAGCCCAAGATTGTGGTGATATTGGGTGCCAGTGGATCAGGCAAATCCAAATTGGCCATCGACCTTGGTTTCCACTTCCCTATTGAAATTATAAACGCCGATTCGATGCAGGTTTAGATTCCTTGAGATAGGATAAAGGAATTGATCAATGGAATACTATGCAGTTGTGTTATTGATGAACGCCCCTCCTTGTAGGTTTACAGAGGCTTGGATGTCCTTACTAATAAAGTTCCAGTTCACGAGCAGAAAGGTTAGTGAGAGATTCCTTGTTCTTGTTTATACTTTCTTTTTGGTGCATAAGATGTTTTGTATTTTATGATTATATTTTGTTTTATCATTCAACAACTACGTGTTTGTTAAATTTTTGTTGTGGACTTTTAATTTGTTGCAGGAATCCCCCATCATCTTTTAGGGACAATTAGTCCAAATGTTGAATTCACAGCTAAAGATTTTAGGGATTCTGCTATGCAGGTGAGAAAAACAGTTCATTCTCTGAATGTCAATTTGTTAACTGTGAAAATGCCCTTAATTTTCCATTTTATTAAGATTAAAGGATTCAATCTGAAAGGTTTTGGTTAAATGGAACAGTTTCGTCGTTTGAAGGGCTGAGTTAAAATCATAGCTTACAGTTAATTTTACATGAAGAATCTCTATGAAATTGTACAAATCAATAAAACATGAATTGTAGGTGTATTTGCAGGAAAAAGTTTAGTTTTGTACTTGTGATCCATTGTCACTTTTTCTTGGTATGTTTCTTCAGCTGTGTTTTTGGTCCATTATCTTACAAGAAAATGCAATTTCTTGCAAGGTATCCGATAAAAAAACATCAAAGAAACATACCTGATGATAGTGATAATTAGCTATAAATGTATAACTAAACCTACAATTTTCCCCTGTATTTTCTTATGGTGAGAGAGTGAAGCAATGTTATTTGACTGATTTCTGGGACTCTGCTAATATTGCAGCTTATTGATGAGATATGGTCTCGGAACTGCTTGCCTGTTATAGTAGGTGGAACAAATTACTATATCCAGGTTAGCCATCTTGAAGTTGGTGTAAAAATGCTTTTGTAGATTTTCTTGATAATACCCGGCATATGATCCAATAAACACATAAAGCATAAAAATAAAATAAATTGCACTTAACTTGAATCTTTGTGCGACCAACACAAGATTCATCTGGTGTAATCAAGTATTGTTGGTCTCATTGTTAAGCTAATGGTTGAAACCCGTTGCACCTATTTGCCAACTTAAGCACTAATAGTCATTATGAATGCTTATGTTGTTGCACTGCTGCAGCATACCTGAAAATTACACCAAACAATTACATACAGCCACTTGTAGCATAACTGGAAAATGTCGCTCCTAACTTTTGCCGAAGAAACAGAGTCAGTTGTTTTTTTTGGTTTAGTAGGCGTTTCTGATGGATCTTTTGCATTCCAATTATCTTACAGTTTTTCCTTTTTCTTTTCTTCATACAAGATTGTCAGTGATTGCAGCAAATTACTGTTGATTGAATATGAATAATGCATCATATGTGTCTTCTGTTTATGTTCTTTTTAGATGGTTCTTGTTTTCATTAATATTTCCAGTCTGTTTTGCAAAATATATGCCCATTTTTGGTCATGATGGTTCCTTTTTAGGGTTGTGTGTGCGCGCCTGTGCTCATTTATTTTACCATAATATTTAACTGTTATCACATTCTATTGATAGAGCTCAGATCTCTGATCATATTGATATCTTTGTTTATTTTTGTCAGGCTCTTGTTAGTCGGTTCCTATTGGATGAGCATGCAGACTATCTTCCTGGTAAGAAATAAGAATAAGTAAAAAAAATAAAAGAAACTCTGAGACTACCTAGGTAGTCAGCTACAAGAATAATGTGGTTCTTCTGTATGCAGGAGATAACGAGAAGGATGATTCTGAACTTGGGCCGACCAGTACAAATTGTGATTATAGTTATAGTCGGCTTAAAGACATTGATCCAGTTGCAGCAGACAGGATTCACCCAAATGACCAAAGGAAGGTAAGATGCTCCCTAAGATTGTTATTATTATTATTATTTTGAAAGCTAAACCAGAAAGACTGGGTAAAACTGGGCCAAATGGTTGATTATATACTAACAAATGTTTCTATTTTCCCTAAGAGTCCTCCATATTCCATTTGGGTACTTTTGAGTTTTTGACTTGGAATCTTGACTTGGACAGTGGTAAATTGTAACCTTAATATACTTGGGATGGCTAGCGCTTCACGTGTTTTGTATGTTCTAATACTTAAAAAATTTACGGGAGACTTCAACTGACACCAGGACACTTTCACCCAATAATTGATCTTTCAATTGATGATTTTCATGTCTGATGACATTAACAGGCGAGTGAAATAATTGGAGTGTGTGTCGAATCCAGAGTATAATAATCAAGACATGTTAAGGCATCAATTGTGGCTATAGAAAGATTCTTTATGCTACTTTACCAAATGCTCGCACTTCTCACTGAGAAAGCTTCTGCTTAATCATAGAATTTGCGGCATACTGATGGCCTTAACTACCTGATTTTAGGCAACTATTCTCAACAATGATACCTGCTAATTAAGAGATTGTGTGTTGATTAACAATAATTATATATATATGTATATGCATATATTATATTGAACATATTCACTACATTTTGCAGATCAAGCAATATCTAAGCCTATATTCCCAATTCAGTGTCCTTCCAAGCAAGTTTTTTCAGGGGAATACCATGCAGGTTTGTTCTGTACCTTTTTTTACTTATGGTTATTTTTAGAAGCCCGTCTTCATTTCTCAAGTAAAAGTGAAGTTAACGCCTTAACTTTCATTGCATGCTGCTGCTGTCAATTAAGAACATTAGCTATAATGGGCTGAATTAGACGGCATAAAACAGATCATATCATGATGTAATTTTCTAATTCGAAATATGGCAGGGCAGAACTGGGGTCGAGCTGTTAATTTAAAATATGATTGCTGTTTTATATGTGTGGATGCATCGCTCCCAGCATTGGATCAATATGTTAATCATAGAGTTGATTGCATGGTTTCTTCTGGTCTGCTTAGTGAAGTCCGGGACATCTACATCTCAAATGCTGATTATACGCGAGGACTGAGGCAGGCAATTGGAGTCAGGGAATTCGAGGATTTTTTAAGATACTGGAACTCTGAACATGAATCGTCTTTTGCATGTCCTGAGCTGTTCCAAGAAAATATGCGCCTAATATTGGATTCTGTCGGCAATGACCGACCAAAATTCAAGTTGGAAGAAGCTATTGAAAAAGTGAAATTAAATACCAGAAGACTTGTTCGTCGTCAGGTAAGACAATTCCCTAATTAAAATTATAAATTTTCTAACTATGCTAAGAATGCCAATTGCTGTTGCTGCTGTAAACTGTTTCTCTCATTGAAATATCGATTCGAAAAATTTCCTTGAGTTAGCCAGCTTCGGTGTTAATTTACTCACTTTTCAACAGAGAAGAAGGCTTAGTCGACTCGAAGAACTATTTGGCTGGAACATACATTTTATTGATGTCACAGAATGCCTACAATGTATGCAGTCCATCTACTTTATATAAATTAACCGCACATATATATATATGTATATATATATATGAAGTAATTCAACATATTGTGTTAATTATTCTGATGTCACTTGTTTCAATAGGCGCTTCGGACAGTTTATGGACTGCGAATGTGGTGGAACCCTCAGTAAGCATCATTAAATCTTTCATGGATGAAACTGGTACTTCAGAATCCGCCATTGGAGGTTGCAAAGAGATCAAACTAGCTCAGAAGGACCTCTGGACTCGATATGTTTGCCAGGTTAGTTACATGATCATTGCTTACTATCCTCTCTCGGCATGCTGAAGACCGTAGAACTATATATATACTTTCGACTCAATCATTTCAGAAATATATATATATATATATATTGCTAGGCATGCGGAAATAAGGAGCTTAGAGGCGAGCATGAATGGGAGCAACATAAACAAGGACGCAGCCATCGCAAAAGAGCATCCAAGATTAAAAGGTCAGGCGTACTTTTCGATACATCTCATACCAGTACAATGAAAATAAATATATGATGATACGATCTCCGAATAGGCTAAACTTTGAAGATATGTCTCCGTTCTAAAATTTATTTTAGGTCTTGTCTGCTGCATATGGTTCGCGCAGGGTGACTTACTTTTTCGAATTTAGTTTGTCGGCTATTAGATTCGGACGAAAGTTTACCCAGAGTGTAGATGAAAAAAATTGGTGAACCATACGCAAATCTTTTCAATTTGTGTGTAGAATATGCTAAACTATGGTTGAGTAGCACAAATCCGTACCGATTGTTTTTGTAACCAAAAAATGTTCATACAATGATTCTAACTAATTAATTTAATTAAGATAAAAAATTATAAAATATAAAGTTTAAAATACGAATAAAATGTATAAATAATTTAAAAAAAAGAGAAATTATATAGGGCGGAAAGAAATATTATTTTTCAAGGCTTATATTACTTTTGTTTGTTTTTTTTTTTTAAAAAAAAAATCATAAAATCAAACACATGTTATTCAATATTCATTTAATATATCACATAAAGATTTATTTTTCCTTAAAACATTACATCTAACATAGTTTCAATTCAAAGTTTAACTGTATTCAAATCCGAAATCTAAATTCAAACTTAAAAAAAACACCCCTCGCTCAAAATACAAACCGCATTCGATCAAACCTGAGGTTGTACTAGACGACGGGGTTTCTTTCTTATAGGTCTCAACACTTTGACGAACATCTTGACCGTCTTAAAAAGTAAACGAAGAGTGTGCCCGAACACGAGTAGTGCCATCAAGCAAATCCACACGAACACGGTGATCCCTATGATAGAATAGATCGAACTCTTCTTGTTGTCGGGCGTATTCAAAATGAGCGAAACCGTATACGTTACCGCAATCGCCGTGATCGCGATCCACGTGATCACCATCAAAGCCCACATGGAAACCCTATTTTTTAGCGGCAATCCGCTCATCAATAGGAAAATAATGCTCAAGGACGCGATGAAACCCGCCGTGTTCACAATGTAAAACGGCGCGTACTTCTTGAGGTACACGTATATTTTTGTTAGGTAATATTGTACGTCCCCCGGCCTCGCCGAGGTCGTTGTCTTCGTATTATTTTCCCAAACGTTCGCCGGCGGGTTTATTCCAACTTGGAATGCCATGCTCGCGATTAGCGTGGCTACAACCATCATTGCGCTCCGTTTCTTGTCCAACCAATCGTCGCTTTTCTTGATTAGCTTTTGGAACTCTTTTGGCGACAAGAGGATTGGATTTTTGGGGTATTCGGAGATGGCGCCATAAGGGTTTTTTTGGGTATCGACTAATCTTGGTGGGTCGATGATGGTTTCCGGTCTTGTCCCTAAAGCTCCGGCGTTCTTGAGGATTTCTTCCATTTTTATGTCTCTCGAGTCTATTTTTCTTTTGATTAAAATGTCCATCGCCGTTGTTCCGCTTGAGCTCGTTGCGTTGACTTCAATTGTGTCGAGTGATAGTAGAAACTCGGTTATCTATTGTTACAACATAGCGATAAGAACTTACGAGTAAAATACATTTTTTCATAAATATTATTAAAAAAATAATATACTCACTCCCATCGCCTCTACGGGCCACATTAAATATATTATAATTTTTTTCACAAATATCATTTTATTAATATTATAAGATATTTTTGCAATTTTTTCTTAATTTGTACTACGTTTTGATAATAATAATAATTAATATTCAAAATCAATACACAAAAAGTAAATGAAACTCTTAAACCGGACGAAGGTAATACATATTAACACAATATATATGCTTTATTTGTTAAAAAAAATTAATAATTCTAACTCAAAATATTATAGTTTATATTACATATATAATTCTCAGTACTTAATACTCCATAAAAAAATATATTCATTAAAAAACATCAAGTAAACTTGGAGTTTGGTTTTAATATTTTGGTATTGATTTTTTTTATTTAAATAGTAATTTGAATTTAATATTTTTTTTAAAAATAGTAATTTATTTGTTCCATTCACCTTGTTTATATTCTTCTGTCGGTTCCACATCTCATATTATTTTTTTTTTAGAAAAAAATTACATATTTTAATTTTATTTTAAATGTTTTAATTTATATTTTTTAAATTTTAATTAGATTAAATAGTTATTATTTATATTATAGAATAATTATTTTTACTAATACATTTATTAATTATATTTATTTTAAATTTTTATATCTAAAATAATCGGGACACGACAAAAATAGTATATTGTTACAAAATATCACAAATATTCTATATCTATATATATATATATATATATATATTTTTTTCTAAAACTAAACTCCAAAATAACAGAATTTGACTCTTATGCAGTGAACTAATGTTTGCTTGTAATTTTAATTTTATTTATTAATTATACAATAAAATAGAATTTACTTTTAAAATTAGTCACACTCAATATTTATTAGTATAGTATTTTTACTAAAATATTATATCAGAATTTCACTTCTTATACTTCCTCCGTCCAATTTCTATTGTCCTAAAGTATATTTACACGGTCTTTTTAGATGATTGTCTTTTTGTTATAAATTGACAAATTTGTCCATAATTGTATGGTAGAGATTAATAGTAATAAATGAACGAAGGGTAAAAATGTAAAATTTGTGTTTTAAAAAAAAAATAGGACCATAGTTATTGGACGTCCAAAATAAGAAAGTAGAACATTAGTTGTGGACAAAGAGAGTATAAAACATCTTATCAATAAATATTTTATATATAAAATATTATACTCCCTCCGTCCATTTTCTAATGTCAGTGATATTTAAACGCTAATTAATTTTTTTGTTGTAAATTAACAAAATAACCCATTATTTTGTGTATAAATATAAAAAAATAAATAAAATAAAGATAAAAAAGTAAAATCTTATTAATAAAACAAGTAAAAAAATAAGACACTGGTCTGTGAATGGAGAGTGTATTTATACTTATTTTTTAATTTAATTTTTAATAATTTTAAAATAATCCAAAACATATGAGACAAATACATTTTATATTTTAATGCATATAATTAGAACGAAGCCGCGTTAAAGTTGTTACAGATGATCTCACTGAAATGCCTGGAGTCAACGGACTTTAAAAAAATATCTATATATAGAATATAGGGAAATAAAATTTCATTTTTTTTTTTTATTTATATAATTGGCCCAAATATATCTTAATATTAATTTCTTTATTCTAAATAATTCCCAATTTTTTAAAATATGTATATTGAAAATAAATTATACTCCCTCAAATGGACTCATTTGATTTGGACACAGATTTTAATATTATATTTACTTTTTCACTTTTATAACAAAAAAATAGGTAAAATAGTTAAAAACAATAAAAAGTACTCTATCTTTCTATAATTAGATATCTATTTGTTTTTTTTTCATGTTATTTTAAAAATATTAATATTATATTGGGATGTAGTAAAAATAAAGTAGAAATAACTAAAATAACTTTATTAGTATCCGTGATATAAAAATAACAACATTTATGTAATATATTGTAAGTTGTAAGTGTATTTGTAATGTTAGATAGATAGTACAATTACTAAAAAAGAAAATGAATACTTTGTTATGAGACGGACTAAAATAGAAAATGTATACTTTGTTATGGGACAGAGGGAGTAATACAAACTTTTGTCCCAAATAAAAGGTCTTTGGGTTTTGTAATAGTTTTTTCTCTAACTTTATTTTTAAAATAATTGTATGTTTAATAATATATTTGTAATTTAAGTAAAAGTTAAGATGGTATTTCAGTATTAGTATATGATTACTTTTTTCTAAAATAAAAAAGAGATACTTTAAAGTGAAATAGACTAAAATGATAAAAGAATACTTTGAATTGAAACGTAGTACTTTCTTCGTATAAAATATTTTACTGTATTTTGCATATCGCAAGTAAATTCATTTATCTCCGCAAAAAAAAAAAAAAAAAAAAGGTACCTCGACTTGCTTTTCAACAACGGCGAGATGCAACGTGGTGTTCCCATCCCGATTTTTACTATTCACCAAATCACGACAATCCGTCGTGTCCATCAAAAGCTTCAACGCGTCGAGCTGCGAGTATTTTACGCAAAGGTGCAAAACGGTGTCGCCGCCATCGACCATGGCGCGAGCCGCCTCGGGCTTTGCCGTTATCAATTCCTTTAGGGTTTCGATTCTCCCCATGACGGCCGCGACATGGATAGGGTTTCTGCCGTCCCTGTCACGTGCAAGGCACATGCCGGGATTTTTTTGCGCCAAAATCTTCGCAATCTCGGCGTGCCCTTTGAGCGACGCCAAATGGAGCGGCGACGATTGCCGCCAATCGAGCTCGCTCGTTAGCTCCGGCTTGATCTTCAAAAGCTCCGTTACGAACGTTTTGTGGCCTCGCATGGCCGCGACATGGAGCGGCGTCTCCAAATACGACGTGATCGAATTCGCGCGGTCGAGGATCAATCTATCTTGTTGGACTAGGGTTAGTAGGAGATTTGTGTTGCCTTCTAGTGATGCTTTGTAGAGCTCTTCATCCATGGCTTCTATTTCTTGATCTTGATTTTTTTTTTTTTTTTTAAAAGTTATTACCTTTTTGTCTTTGACATGTTTTTATGTAGTTTGTGAAAAGAAAGGATGTGGAGTTAATAACCCCTTGATTATATAGTGTAATGGAATGAGAAAAGAAAAGGAAGGGAGGAGACTTTTAGAACTTTTTATTGTTGTCCTTTTTTTTTTTTTAAATTGATTTGAAACTAGGAATTGATTTGAATTTATATTTAAATAATCTATTAATATAATATTTTGTGACAAAAAATTGATGTGTTGTGAAGTTCACATTCGAACTAGGAAGATACTGATATGTATAGTTTTTTGGGTTGCGTGTTAGAATTTTGATATAAGGTTTTGTATATATATATATATATAAATGATGTACCATTTTTTTAAATGACATTCGAAATTACTAGTGAAAATATTTGGATTGCCGTTGTTAGACGTAGATTTGATCCTTTTTTATTTTCTAATTTCCACAATAGAAGTAATATATTTTTGCTGAAAATTATACAAATTGAATAATAGTATTTTTCTTATATGAAAAAAACAGAAGAAAAAACATATTTATTTTGATTTTTTGGATGTTTTACTTAGTTTAAATAATATTTTGATGTAATATAATATAAAAATGAATAATATTTTTAATTGCGAATAATTTAAAAATAAAGAAAAGAAAACGAAGATGAAATTGAACACGCAATAATTCTTTTATTTTTTTATATATTTATTTTTTAGGTGAAAAAAAGTTGTTTGCTTTAAAATTATATAAAAATTGTGTTAGGATGTAGTAATATTTTTAGGAACAATAATAAAAAAATTAAATAGTAAAAAACTTAATTCGAAAACATATATAGGATAAAAAAAATTAGGATTCATTCTCTTTGATTTTTTTTTTTTTTTTTTCATATATATATATATGTATTTTTTATTTTTTAATTTTAGCTCTCTTTTCTTTTTCCTTCAAATAATCACATATAATACACTTTTCTTATTTTTCTTTACAAAATATATTATCTAACAATTATTTAACTAGAGACATTATATATATATATATATAAAACAAACACCAACCCAACAAATCCATCATATTCAAAAAAGACTTTCGATAGGATGTAAGTATGTAAAGACTAAAATATTTTTAGATTGTAAGTGGCCGTTAGAGCTGTTAAACGAATCGAGCCGTTCGTGGACTCGGCTCGGGTCGATTCAGCTCGGTTAAAATTCGTTTGCGAACATTAACGAGTCGAGCTGAACAACATAAACAGACTCGTTTGGTTAATGAACGAACTCGAGCTTTGTTCGCAAATATTCGTTTAAATAATATATTAATTATAAATATTATATATACATATAAAATTATAATTTATAAATAAATAAAATATAAATTTAAAATATATAAATAAAATAATTTAAATTTTCTTTATAATTTATATATAAATTTAAAAAAAAATAAGACAAACGAGCTCGAACGAGCTTAATTGAGCCTAAACGAGCTGAACACGAGTACGAGCTCAAATAACAAAAATCTTAACGAGCTGAGCTCGAACACTACGAACAAGCTCAAAAGCTTAACGAACGAACACGAACCTTGTTCGCGAATGTTAACGAACACTTAAAATTCGGCTGGGTTCGAATTATTAAAAGCTCTATAGTGTCCATACATCCTAAAAATATGTTATTATTTTAATACTTTTATGTGAAGCAATAAAATATTTTACTATAGAGTAAGCTCACATTAAATAAAAAAATATATTTATTATTTGTAAATGTTTCAAACAACAATATATTGTTAATAGAGGAAGTGAGTAAATTCAAATATTATATTCAATAATATTATATTATAGGATATATTGGATTATTTTATATTTTGAAAATTTCAAGGTGGATATTTGCATAGTTTTATATTTTGAAAATTTCGAGGTTGTAATAATTGTGATTTAAATAAAGATAATACTATTACTTATGTTTCTTCATTTTTAATATTTTATTATATCATTTTTACAATGTTTTTATAGAAGTAGTATTATATTTTTTTCCATAAAATATTATATTCAATCTATTATTTAAACTAAATAATAATAATAATAATAATAATAATAATAATAATAATAATGTATAAATTATATAATACATTATTGTATTTTATTAAAAATGTACAAAAATATTATGCGTTTTATTTATTACGTGAAATCTCTTTGTGTTAATAAAAAGTTTGCATGAAATACTTTATTTGTTCCAAATTGATGTTTGGTTCGAAATAAAAATCTAAATTGCGTAAATTTTTATAAAAAAGAAAAAAATTAAAATATTTTAAATAATTTTTTTGAATAAAATAAATAAATAAATAATTTTATCAGTGGTGTGAGTGGTGAGGGCGAGGGGCTTCGTGCAGAAGGTTCGTAGTGGGTGCAGATTGCTTATCAGTGGTGATGGCTGTGGAACTGAGTGGGGACCCACCCACCCATTCATTCATATTCATATGATGTGCAGAGAATCGGGGAGAGGACTCGTGCGTCGACTTTTGCTACATAGTAGACACGATATTTCAGAAATGTGTAATTAGTAGATAATTAAAAATATATTAGTGAAAATAATTATTTTATAATATAAATAATTATAAATTAAAATTAAGATAACTAATTAGTTTAATTAAAATTAAAAAATTTAAAATGAGATTAAAGTGCGTAATCACATGTAATATAAGACGGATAGAAACGGCAACTTAGACATTAGGACGGAGGGAGTAATAATAAAAAGAAGAAGAAGAGTCCTCTCTTTTGTCTTCTCATCTCAGTTCATCTCATCTAATCTCATTTGGGTCTGAGTCTGAGCCTCAGGGTTGACTGTAACCGAGCTAGCCAGCTTATCGGATCAATCTATCACTAGCATGCAACATCTCTTCCATCAGAGATGGTCCTGGGCCGGGCCTCGCCCCGACCCGACGACGACGACGACGACGACGATACCTAGTCGTTGCTTAGTGTTGACATCAAAATGTTTCATTCACTGCTGAAATTCTGTAGAAATATCAATCATTAAATAAATAAATAAATAAATAATTTATTAATCCTTCGTTTTATAGTTTTTGGATATAAAAATTATAATTTATTTATTTTATTAAAAAAAATTATTTAAGATATTTTACGTTTTTTATTTGTATAAAACTTAGGTCTTTATTTCGAACCAAATATCAATTTTGGACAAGAAGGGTATTTCATGCAAACTTTACATTAATAAAAGGAGGTTTCACACAATAAATAAAACATAAAATATTTTGCGTATTTTTACTAAAATACAAAAGGGTGTTATATAATTTATCATAATAATAATAATAATAATAATAATAATAATAATAATAATAATAATAATAATAATAAACGTCATCATCATCAAGTAAACACATTTAAAATTATGTGTTGAATGGTTCAGACTATAATCTAAATTTTATTGTAAATTAGAATAAAAATATTACATATAATACTAAATGCAAAATATAAAATAAATGAATAAAGTATGTTAAATTAAAAGAGATAAACCTAGAAATAAAAATAAATATAAATAATATTACTGATTAATGAAGAAATTAATTATTTGGAGAAGTCAAAAATAAAGTTGAAAACTACACATTAGAAGAGAATTATCTTTTAATTAGTCAATAAGTATGAATTATTAAATTAGTTTTACACTTACTAAAGCAACCATTTTATTCTTATAAAATTTCACTGGTCAATAATTTTTGGCTGATTGAAAAGGACAGAGTGTTTTTTTTTTTCTACTAAAAATTATGACAAATTTAATAGACATATAATATTATAATTAATAAAATAATGTTTAAATAAAAAATAAATAATAAAAAAAAATTCACATTCCTTGAATTTTTAAAATTCCTATAGATTTAGGGTGTGGTGGTTTATGATTTTGATGTTTTGAACAATTATTTAAAATAGTTATTTAATTTGATATAATATTTTTAATATAACATTAATTTTTAATATTATATTATAAATAAAAAATAAATACTCTCTCCGTCTCATTGAAAAGTTGCCATTTTTTTTTTTCCAAAACAAAGTTACCATTTCATAGTAATTGTACTACTTACCTAACATAATAAATACCCTTCAAATTTACAATATATTATACAAATACTATTACTTTTATATTACACTATACTAATATAGATATTTTTGTCTTTTTTTACTACAATCCAATATAATACTTATATTCAAAAATCTATTTGCAAAAACTTTTTCACCGGGACAGAGGGAGTATTTAATTTGATATATTTTGAAGAAAAAATTATTGAGTAATATAATTTGATTTTAAAATTTACAAACAAATAGAGCTTATAGATTATTATTATTATTATTATTATTGATCTGTAAAGATTGATTTAGTCAAGTTTGGATAATGAGATAAATATATATTTTACAATAGAACATACTTGGTCAGATTTTAATTGTCTTTAATTACTTATATTAGAAGACTTTAGGGTGTGTTCGTCTGTAGGATTTTATCAAAATTCTACTATTCATCCAAAATTTTTTCCCAAAAATATGAAATCAAACATCTATTTTTCATTTTTTATATTATACTAAAAATTAATTTTACATTCAAAATATCACATCAACACCTATTTATATCACATCATACAACTATTATAATTCAAAATTTTTACTATTCAAATCCCAACTCAAAATCCAAACCCCAAAACAAACACACCCTAGGTTGTCAGGATATACGTGTATTCTGACGTCTATTTGGGCAATTAATATATCGTCTTTATCTTATTACAAATTCGATGGACGATTGATATTTGTTGTTGGACTCCCGTTCGTAGATAAATAAATAATGCGTATTTCTAAAAATTCTAATTTTTAGGTGAAACACTCATTTACATAATGTAATATGATACCAGGTTTTTTTTTATCTCCTTACATGTAAGGAGGCGTGTTGGTACCAACATCCGATTGTGGATAAATAAACAAATTTCTAAAACTTTTAGATGAGACAATTATTTACATCATCTAACAACATTCACGATAGAAAGTTTGTATATTGATTACTTTTTTCTATAATAAAAAATAAATATTTTTAAATGAGACATACAAAAATAATAAAAATAGTAAATTAAGTTGGAATGAACATAGTATATATTACTTTTTTATTTCACTTATTATTTTAATATATATATATATTTTCTATACAATCTAGGGTATGTTTGTTTTGATAAGTTTGAAATAATTTTAATTCGAGTTTGATATTAAAATAATATATATATTTTCGTTTCTAAATATCGAAATTCATTTATCAATAAGTGTAAAGTGTATGACTTGAAAACATAATTTATTGGATGGATTATCAATTAATTGGGCTAATTATATGGATGTATGGTTAGGTTCGGGATGAATTTTGCAAGCTTCAAATCCTCGCCACTAGAAAATTGTAGGTTGAGAACCGGTTCTACCCTACAGCAGCCCCATTCTAGGGTTCCCACCATATTCAAAGTCAACAAGAAAACTTGATCTTTTGTTTTTGTTTTTATTTTTGTTTTTTCTTTTTAAAATAAAAATAAACCTATATAGTGTGGCGTCTGATGGACTTTGACAAAATTCCACTGTTCATGCAAAAATATCAAATCAAACACCTATTTTTCATTTTTTATATTATACTAAAAATCAATCTTACATTCAAACCATCACATCATCACCTATTTATATTACATCATACAACTATTCAAATTCAAAATTTTTACTATTCAAATCCTAACTCAAAATTCAAACCCCTAAACAAACACACTTAGATTAAAAAAATTATATGTTATAATATAATATAATGTGTAATTTTTGTAAGAAAAACTAGTGGGTCCCACACCACTTATCTTTATGTACTCCCTCCGTCCATACTATTACTTTTTTTTTAGATTTTAATTTTATTCTAAATTTTCTAATTTATATATATATATATATATTTCTTATGTTCCACAAGAGATCACTTATATATATATATTTCTTATTAATTTAATTAAATTTTTAACTTTTTATACGAGAACTCATTCAAAATCCTTTTATTTATATATCTTCTAAATTTTTTATTTTTTATGAAATTATTTAAACTAATATATTCTTAATTATTTACGAACAGTGAAATTCAAATATATGTTTATTATTTTATTTTATTGTTTAGTTTAGTTTTTTATTATCTGTTTATATTATTTTGATTATATCGTTATTATTTGATTATATCGAGTCTATTCAATTTTGGCTTAAGAAATTAGTGAGGCCTAAGTTGAACCGAAGCTTAGTGTAAGAACCAAGTCCATTTTTGTTCGCCCAACTCATTTGGCCCAATCCAGGTGCGAAATTAATCCACAACCGTCTGATCACGGTTTTGTTGGGAGCCTTTGATTATGATATAATATATATATATACGTGTGAGTTCTATCAACACTGTCACTCTCTCATTATTTACTCTCGCTCATCACATTTTTTTTTCCTATGATGTAAGAATTGACCTGTAATCGCTACTATTCGAATGCGTTCCGGGTAAATCTCTGACCAATCTTAATATCCTCCAAACAAAGCCAGCAAGACAAGTCACACTAAGAAAATTACGGGTGACAAGACAAAATTTAGAAGCTTTGGGGGTTTAAACTTATAATCTTATGGTCATAATTTCACCCCTGGCTATCTCTTACCGAACATCTCTCTCATCTCATTCTTCTCTCTTGTGTAGGTTGTTCTCTCTATTCTTAATTCTTCTCCAATCCTCTCTAGAAGGTAAGTTTCTTCTTTTGGCTCTTAGCTTCCATGTTTAGTGAAGTTTGAGAACCGGAGATCTTCTTTCCGGGTACAGGTAGATTGACCGTATTGTTGTATTATATGCTAAAACAAAAGATTTTTTTAACAAAATTATACTTCCTCCGTGCCAAATACTGCACAACATTTGAGTTCAGCACAAGAATTTAGGTGAGTAGTATTAAGTAGGGTAATTTAAAATAATTTGAATATTAGGTGGTGTGATTAGAGAGAGAAATGAATATTTATTTTTTTAATTGAGTGATATGATGGGATAAAATGAAATGTATATTTATATATATATATAAATATAATTAATTATTTCTAAATTCAAAAATATTGCAGTAAGTTTGGAACAAACAAAAAAAAAAATATTGCTGGGTGTTTCGAACGAAGGGAGTACTTGCACATACACTTATGTATAATATTGTCAATTTTATTCGATGAATATTATGTCTTCAACATAAGCACATATGCAACCACCACTCTTACATAGTCTCTCTAAGCTCATCAAACAAACACAAATTTTATGGCATTAATCCCTGCAATCACCTGATGAAGAATATATGATCACATTAATTCCTATACTTCTGTTCTGACAAGGCATACGATGTTGTCAGGGGACGGAAACCATGCTCGAGGCTGGCTTGCCATATCTTATTAATGTCGAACATCGTATTCCCACACTCATGTTCACTCCAATCTTCGACAGCATGCAGTATTCCCGCAATTCGCTGTGCACTCATCACTCGTCTCGGGAGCCAGTTCTGCCGAAATTAAGGGACCATAGTTTAAATAGTTGATGTGATATAAATAGATATTAATGTGATGTTTTGAATGTAAATTTAATTTTTATTATAATATAAGAAATAAAAAATATATGTTTGATTTGATATTTTTTGAGGTAAAAAATTTGATAAATAGTAAAAATTTTGTAAAATGTGATATAAGAACGTACCTTTAAAGTTTTGCAAAGGAAATTGCCACAGAAGATTATTGAAGCATTTGTAAAAAATTCTACTAAAATACTAGAGTTAAAGTAGATGGTAAATAGGGTTTTAATTTTAATCATATGAAACTATTTTATTATCATGAGCATTGGTGTTAGTCACTTTTGATCATATATTGAATGAGAATGTTTGAATTTTGGCAATAATACAAAAATTATATTCCTTATTAAAAATTTAAAAGGCAAGAAGAAAGAGAGGGTAATAACATTAATTTTGAGTAAGGTTGTTTCGAACCTCACAAGAGTCGACATTCTCAAAATGCTTCGGAGCCAACATTGATGGTGTGTAGTTGTACACACAATCTTTGCGCGCTTTCTTCGGAGGAAATTGGGAAAAAGGGATGAATATTGTCCCTTTCGATGCCTTCGACTGATCATCATCGCTTAGTCCATCTCCGACCAACCATACCTACATGTGTAACGGTTTTAAATAGCTCTCTCATTTTAAATTATGAGATCGAATAATTTTTTTTTTTTTTATAAAAAACACTCTAAGACGGCATATATTGTACTAAACAAACAATAAAGAATTAAGTACCGAGCATTAGTTAAATACCTTGGGAAGATTTTGTTGAGAGAGGGCCAATATATTTGTGGCCTTGCTATTAAAACTCAACTTGAGCTTCTTATACTCGTCCTCGCGAAGAGTGAATACCTATTCAATTTGAAATAACAAAGAATCCATAAAGAATAAGTACCGAGAAATATTTCATCCCATTCTTCAAAACTATATATGTTATTCTTCCTCGACTTCAAATGGTAGCTGATTTGTGAAATCTTGTTTGGTTTTGATTTGAAATTAGAGTTTTGTTTAGAATTTTGATTTACGTAGCATTTTAATATGATATATTGCGAGATAAAAAAAATTATTTTTATTGAAAATCGTATAGGCTAAATAATAGAAATTTTGCTTTGAAATACAAACCAAACACACTCTATAATATTTTTTTTAATGAATAAGTAATATCAGACAACATTGAATTGAATGTACCTCGACTCCCTCTTGGCATAGGGTTAGGGCGATCGAATAAGCAACCTTATTTAGATTGCCTCGAAGTAGCACTTGACTTGTTCCTTTCGGAATGCTATTTAACACAATAGCAACAGCTAAACTACTTCCATTGACTAGTTTTACTTTCAACTTCGGATGCCTTGTTATGAACAACTCACCATTTCTATTGAGCTCCTCGGCCTAAATCACGTGCATAAAAATATCAAAAGAGTGATAAGTCTTTGTTTTATGACTCGGAATTCATTGTTCAACTATCTTAAAGCAACACAAATTAATAACATGTACATTTTACAAATTTTGATGTAATAATTCGTAAGGAAAAAAAAAAAAAAACAAGAAGATTCTGAATTCGCTCGAACTATTTTGATAGTAGTTGAAAGTGTAAAAAAACTAAATCATATTACTAGCATAGATATAACTTGCCTGATTCAAGAGCCCTAGGCTTAGCACTTTAACTCCTTTCTCCTCGGCTTCAAGTATCGCATCCTCAATCATTTTATTTATTGATTCCCTTTGCCATTGCATAAAATACTACATGAAGAACAAAAGTATATGTTATGTTAGAACTTAATTATGATATTCAGGAGAATAATCTTATATTATTTTGTTGATTATATAATATAGTTATATATATATATATATTTTGATTAGTGAATATTGAATAATGAATTATGGAATAATATATGATTGAGTGGACATTGGATAATAAATTCGTGATATTTATGTTTATTCATTATATATATTTATATATTGTAATAGTTTTGTGGGAGAAAAAAATTGAGAAATAAAGTTTATTTTTCCTCCCCAATTACGCCATATTTTGTTAATTTCTACTATGTTCTTTGTTAACCTATCAAAAATGAAAAAATCGAAGAAGAAGAAGAAGGCTTACTTGAACGGTGTACTTGGGGACAACCCATGTTTGCAATTTGAAACGTTTGAAGAGATTCCTTTCAACGATGAAAGTACGGCCATAGATCAAAGTGATGGCCGTCGACCATAAAGTGACAGGCGACATTAGCCACAAGTACCACTTGGACTTGTGTGGCTCGGAAGCCAAGTAGGCGAATCCTAATCGAAGATAGTATATCGAATTAGGCGTAGTTAGATGAGTCAAGTGTACCAAGTCGGGCGACTCCTCTTTTCTTACTAGAGACTTCTCGTACAACAAATCCGAGGATTGATCCATTGTGCCATAGACGTAGTCGTAGAAAGGCATGAATAGAGAGTAATTCGTCCGAAATTGAGTGTGGTGTAATGAATGGAACCTATGGCAACATCATATAGAAAAAACTCATTCGAAAAATAGTTTAGCATAAAAAAAAATGAAGCAATAGAGGATTTTGAAGTTAATTTGATGTTTCATAAGACAAGTTTAATATTTAATGTGATATATATATTTTTTAAAAAATTAATAGTAATAGATAATCAAAACTTCGAAATTATATATGTAAATGTAAATATAGACCGTAAGTTTGGGAATATTTGTTTAATAAATTTGTTTGAAGAGATATTATAGAAAATTATGTAAATAATATAAAAATAATACATTAAATTCTGTCGTAAATTATATTGAAAACTCGACTTTAACATACCCTTAGTAATCAATGCATTAAATTCTAAGCCAAAAAACGCTCGATCCTAATTAAATCAAAGTATTGCAAGGAAACCATCAAATCCTGAACACTAGATTCTAGATTACACTAAATTAAAGCCTAATTAAACTCATAAAAATTGTAAATATATTTTAAAATTAGATATATATTTATGTGACGGTAGACTACCGTATAACTTGTAAGTTTAAGATTATTTTATTAAAAATATTTTAAATAAAACAATTACACTATGAAATATTTATCCACTACATGAAAATCTTATTTTTGCGATGAGTATTTGAAAGGAATTAAATCACTCGTTAAACTTAGGGACTCGAATTTAAGCCCCTCGTAAGTTTTTTTTTGTGAGAGATGAACGGAAAAAGATGGATCGTATGCTTATTTACAAGTGACAATTCGAAAGAGATCAAAATCCTTAACAAATTTTCTCGCTAGCTGATTCCCTCACATTATTTTTATTATTTGTCCATCCCAAAATCATGATACTATTTCATAATTTAGTAATTGTACTGTCTATTTAATATAATTAATACCCTTACCACTTCTAATATATTACACAAATGCTGTTACTTTTATATCATACAATCTAATAAGGGTATATTTGTCTTTTTCACCATAAATCAATATAATACTAATATTCAAATATCTACGTACAAAAATTAAATGGTACTGATTTTATGGGACGGAGGTAGTATATATTTTTGCTTTTAAATTATTTTTTCTTTTTTTTTTAAAAAAAATTTCAAAGTCGAGATTTAAATAGATGGATGGAAATGAATACTTACGACGGTGTGTACATGATGTACTTGAGTGGAGGGAATGCCGAGAAGATCCATTTGGGGATGTGTTCGAAGTTGCAATGTCCCATGTTATTCATGAAGTCGATGTAAGTGGCGTAGCCAAAGATCGAAAGAATTGAAGCTGTCCCATTCCATATCGTTGTAAAAATGGGGATTATAAACAGCGCGTAGTATGCTAAGATCTCGCCGAATGGATGGATCACAGCTGCATATATTCGCCACAAAATAATAATAATAATAACAACAATAATAATGATAATAATAATAATAATCTATATTTTTAAAATATTAAGTTAAATATATACTTTTATTTGAAATATTACAACTAAACCTTACTTTTTATTTAAAATTCATCATATATATATATAGTTTTTTATTAAAATTAACTAAAAAAAATATTTTAAATAAATGAAAAAGACAATCAATTTAAGGAATGCACAAAGTGATGTCTCAACTGTTTATTTTGTGTTTTCATGGCCCAACAGAAAACTTTATTTTAACATTATATTATTATTTTTTTTTAATTAAAAACATCACAATCAAGATCTCTATATATAACTAATTCATACAAAAAAAAAAAAAAACTCTCAAAATTATTGGATTTTGTCTTTTATGAAATATGCAACTATACCCACTATATTTGTTTTATGCTATTTTTTGCCATAATTTGACATGTTTGATTGGGGGGTTTTGCAAGTTGCTATTAATTTTTTTCTTTTCTAAGTTTTTGTTTGTTTTTTTTCAAAAAAAAAAAAAGTGAAATCTACTTATATTCTCATATATTAATTCTATTTCTACCTTATATACATAAATCTATTCAGCATATGATCCCACCCTAGATACAGTTACATATAAAATTTTATATATTTTTAATATATATATATACTATTTTCTTTATTTATATAACATAAGATTCTATTATCAACAAAAGTAACCTATTTATTATAATTTATTAAAGTTTATATAGTTTAAAACATTTCAAAAAATATTTTAGATTGATTTTTAATTAAATATATATCACATCATAATCCACATATATAGGACCAAACAAACACTTTATTACTAAAGAGTAAACTCCAACTTACACAGCCTTAGGGCATCTGGGTTGGTTGATTTGGGCAACGTCAAATTTCATGCCAATTTTTTATTTGGTATTGTATCGTAGCAATGTAAAAAATTGGCGTTGCCTTTTATTTATTTTAAAAAATTTTACTTTTTATTTATGGTTTTTAAATTTATTTTTATTTTTTGTTTTTTTAAAAAATAGTGTAAGTTATAAAAATAAAAAGTTATTTAAAATTATACATAAAATAGAATATTAAAAAATATTAATGAAAATTAGAGTTATAGTTGAAATAGACTTACTGTAATAACTGCATTTATGGATTAAAATTGTATAAATAGAGTTTACCGGTTGAAGATGGTCTTAATCAGGTGAGTTTAATTGATTCGTAATATAAAGGAAAAAACAAAAAAATAGACAAAATTTGCAATTTCTTCTTTTTTTTTTTCTTTTTTTTTTTTTTTCACGTGGCGAGATTAAAGTTTTCTTACAAGTGATGGGTTCGGTGACGATGGAGGAGTGGTGGTGGGAGTGGTAGCGCGAGTAGAGAAAGTGGTGGTGCAACGCGCGGTGCAACCAATAGTATAAAAACTCGACCGGCCCGGCATGGAGCAAAGCAATCAAGATTGCCCCATCCATCCGCCACAACGGCAAATCTTGAGCCCTCTTGATGTAATTTTGCGCTATGTAGAAAAATAATCCGTTAAATATTATTTGGTCATCCCTGCAAGGCACTATTCCATCAGATCGGCGAAATTACTACAATCAAAATAAAATTCATTAAAAAAAAAAAAAAAGAAAAGAAACTTCAATTGAATCAAATAATACCAATTTCTCTCCCTATCAACTTGGTCGAATTCGATGCTCTTGTCAACTATACGGTTGGCTCCTTGCGCCGTGCGATATCGGGAGAAAGAAATCCATAGTTGGTTGTGCACCATTCTCCATATTAAAAGGGGAAGTATAAGAAACTTGGAAAGATCCCTTTCGCCCTCGCCCTTGGTCATGTATGAATACGTCGCGTGTATTGCAAAAGGAGCCAAAAGCGCGTACTACATACCTCGAAAAAAATTCAAAATCAAAATTGAATTAATTCATCGAATATAATGAACCAAAAACAGTTCGATCGAAGTGAATTTTTTTTTATTTTAATCTAACATAAATGAAAAAGAATTGAACCTTGTAGGTGCCAAGACATGTCCATGGCCAGTCAGTTAGAAACCCTGGTTTGGAAGCCATTTTTGTATTTCTTTGAAATCTTCACAAACTTCTTGTATAAATTGTCACCTTGGTATGCTTCCATTGGGTATATACACACATACACACACACGTGTGTGCTAATGTGTATTAAATTTCGTGTGTACTAATGTGTATTAAATTTGGTACAATTATTGATACTTTTTTTTTTTTCTTAAAGAAATAAAACGACAACACGCAATCCTTACTTTTTAAATACGTATTGCACAAGCAGTGTCAAATCCTTGTAGATTAAGTGGTGAGATATTTCTCGCTTTAGGTAAACACTCTACGACAAATTCAATCGAAAAAATGTCGGCATAATTTAAACCTAAACCTAAACCTAAACAATCACAAGTACATCTACTATTGCTACATTTAATGACATATATGCGTGTACATGCAAGTAATTAGAGAAATATTCTATAAATTAATTAATTTAACAACATTGTATTAGTACGATTAATATAATATTGCACATTTACTAACAACGTATAAAGGGTTTGTTCATTCATTTTTTTTTTTTTTGTTCCTGATATAATTCTCAATCTATATAATATTTATGTTCTACATTATTCTACAAAAATTAATAATCCAAAGTAGTATTTTTTTTATATTAACATCACAATTCTCTTATTTTTCAACCAAAAAAAAAAAAAAAAAAAAAAAAAAAACTAAAACACTAAACAAACAAACCCTTTATTTTACATTTACTAATATACTCTCTCCCTTAGTGATTCAAATTTATATTCACTTTTTCTTTTTGAGTTGTCGTAAAAAAAAAATTATCATTTTCTTTTTCAGTAAAAATGTATTTTTTTTCCTATAAAAGAAAAAAATAACAATTATTACTCATTTTTTTCTGTCAAATAAGCATATATTATTTGTACGACGGAGGGAGTAATATATTCAACACATGAATGGACAGACAAAATATTGATAGTTTTAAATTTTTTATTTTGAAATTAAAATTTTACTCTTATTAAAATATCATATTATTTTATATTTAAATTCAATTTATTAGATTTATATAAAAATCAGCAAACATAATATTATCAACACCGTCACAATATTAATAGATATGTACACATTAGGCAACTCCCTACATCGTCATTGCTGCCGTGGCTTTTCTGTAATTTTGGTGCATAAGAACGTCATTCTCATTCCAACATTTTTATCAATTTAGGAGTTTTTTAAATTATAATAAAATTTAAGTAATTAATAATAATAGGTTACATTATTTTATTATATATTTTTTATATGAACGGTATTATTAGTAATTTTATTTAAGTAATGATTTAATATATATAAGATTAAAAAAATTAAAAATATATGTTTAATTTTTTTAACAATTATATTTTAATAAAATATATAAATATGCATATTATTTTTTTAGAGAATAAAATTTTATATAATAAAAATAAATAAAAAATATAAATTTTTATTTATGATTAACATAAATTAATTTGTAGAAAATTTTGAATAAATATAAATATATTTGTTTATTAACTAAGAAAATAGAAATAAAAAAATTTGAATGAATTTTTAGCGAATTTTATGATGTAATATTTTGAAAGAGAAAAAATGAAAAGCATAATGTCAACTTGGCCCGAGAAGACAAGGTTTGTATTTCACACAAAATATTAAATCTTAATCCTATTTAAATAAAAAATAAATATAAATACAAAATCAAACAAACTGAGGCTGTGTTTGGTTTGTATTTCAAACAGAATTCAATACTCTCTCTGTCCCACACACCACACACCGTGTCTACTGTAGATACGGTATTTTAGGAATGGTGTAATTAGTAGATAATTAAGAATATATTAGTGAAAATAATTATTTTATTATATAAATAATTATAAATTAAGATTAAGTTAACTAATTAGTTTAATTAAAATTAAAAAAAAATAAATTAAAAAGTTTAAAATGAGATAAAAGTGTGTAATCATTTTCCAAAAAAAAAAAGTGACATGGAATATGAGACGGACATAAACGGCAACGTGGACATTGTATGTGGGACGGAGGGAGTATTATTCAGTCCACAAGATTTTTAGTATAAATATATTAGTTTTTCGCAAAATATCAATCAAAATATTATTTAAATCAAAATCTAAACTCAATCAAATCAAAACAAAACAAATCAAGATATATATATATTTTTTTTCATTTGAATTTGTTTATTATGTTTGATGTTTACTTGATTATTATACTACTTCTGTCCACACATAAAATATACAATTACTTTTGGCGCGGTGTTTAAAAAATAATAGTATTTTAATTATAGTAGGTAGTTAAAAGTAGTATAATAATATTTTTGCCTTTGCTTTTTGGTGTAAAAATAATGATGTGATGTAAAGTATAAATATTTGTGGAAAAAAAATAAAATATTTAATGAAATATTTAATTTGTAATTAGACGTCCCAAAATAAAAATATATATATTTTATAGCGGGACGGAAGAAGTATATGTTTAGTTGTATTTTCAAGTTATTTTATTTATTTTATATTTTTGCTTATGTTTGCTTTTTCACTTGATTATTATATGTTTAGTTGCATTTTCAATTTTTACATTATTTATAAGAGATATTCCTCATAAAGAAAAGTTATATTCCATATATTTTATTTGCAATTATGTTCAAATATTATATTTAATATCTATTTATATTATATTAAAATAAATATATATAATACTCCCTCAACTTTGTTTGTTAATAAATTATTATAATACTCATATTTTACTTTTTATCTACTCTATTTTTATATTAAAATATTATTAATTTTTGGTATACGTATCCAAATAAATTGACATAATTACCCCGGAAAGAGGCAATAATAATAATAATAAAATTCTCCATGTTGATAGGAGTCTATGAGCCTCCCTCTAACCTATACTAAATTACTTACTCTCTGCCTAACAAAATGTAGGTTGTGTTTGTTTGCATATTTAGGTTTGGATTTTAAAAAGTAAGAATTATTAAATTTGATTATATATATTTTTTATATGATATAAACAAGTATTGATTTGATATTTTGATTATACAATTACATTTAATGTAATTTAAAAGATAAATAATTAATATTTGAGTAAATATTGTTTTAGGATTTTTTTATACTCCTCCCGTCCCATATCTATATATCCATTTGCTTTTTGCATGGAGTTTTAAAAATATTAATACTCCTTCCGTCCCGTTAGATGGGTGACGTTTCCTTTTTGCACGTAGATTTTTGAATATTAGTATTATATTGAATTGTAGGAAAACAAGACAAAAATACCCCTATTAGTATGGTGTAATATAAAAGCAATGACATTTGTGTAATATATTGTAAGTTTAAAGGATATTTATTATATTAAGTAGGTAGTACAATTACTAAATTAGGAAATGGTAACCTTGTACGGACGAAAATGAAAAATGATAACCTTTCAATGGGATGGAGGGAGTATTATATTGAGATAAAGTAAAAATAAAGGTAAAAAGACTAAATAAAGTATTGTATGATATAAAAGTAATATCATTTATGTAATACATTGTAAATTGAAAGGGTATTTGTAATGTTAGGTAGACAGTACAATTACTAAAAAAAAAAAGAAATGAATACTTTGTTATGGGACAGATCAAAATAGAAAAATGGATAGATTGTTAAATGACGGAGGGAGTATTAATAGTAAAAACTTATAAATTTGGTTTGAAAAAAATTAGTTCGAGTATTGTATTTAAGTAATTTTTATGGAATATTTTGTAGAGAATTTTTTTCTAAAAACCCACAATACAGATGGTAAAATTTTGAAAAATTTTGGTCAAGAAACACACATCTTTGTGATAGTTTGTTTTGTTTTGATTTTTTTTTTTAAAAAATAACATTTTAATATGATATTTTGTGATTAAAATTATTTTATTATTATTAGCAAACACACAAGCTAAATAATGTTGATTTTGATTTAAAATCAAAACCAAACACACCTTGTTCACTTATTATGTATTTTCAAATAATACGAATTCTTTATAAATGTTATTAAAAAAATTTGTACATACAAAACTAACACAATATAAAAGATCAATATTCCAATACAATATATATAATATAATTTTTCATATCTAACATAAAAAATAAAATCATTCAAAACGACAAAGCCAACAAACCCATAATTATATATGGGGGTGAGCATTCAGATTTTCGGTTCAAGATTTTGCCAAATTCGAACTGATCTGAAAATTCGAAATTTTTGAAAAAACCAATCCGAACCAAACCGAAATAACTGAAATCCGAAATCCGAAAATCCGTAATCCGAACTAAAAAATCCGAACCAAATCGAAAAATCCGAAATTCTAAATATTTTTATTATTATTTTTTAAAATTTTAAATTCTTTTTATATTTTATTATTATTTTATAATATTAAATATATATAATATATAAAAATTAAATATATTAAAATATAAGTATTAAATTTGAGTTTTTTATATTAAAATATAATATTTTCTAATAAAATATTAAATATATATAATAAAAAAATATATTAAAATATTATATTTTGGATTTCGGATTGGTTCGGATTTTAAGTATACCGATCCGATTCGATCCGAAAATCCGAAATTTGTTAAAAATTTAATCCGATCTAATCCGATCTAAATTTTAAATTTCGGTTTGATTCGGATTAGATTTTCGGATATATATTTTTGTATTAGATTTTTAGGTTTGTTCAGATTATCGAGTGACTTAAAATAAAATCAGGTTGGCCTAAATCTAATCCAAAAAAATTATATCATGTTCGGATTAAAAATCAGGTTTAGGCTAATAGACTTTTTTGTTATACTTACCGCTCAATCTGACATAAACACGATCTGATAATACAAATATCCATGAGGTATTGGATTATAGTATCGATACATTTTTAGTGATAAACTAGCTAAATTGAATACTTTGGGTGATCCCCATGTTGGCTATGATGCTTTCTGAAGCTCAAGTTAGAACTAGTTTTGATTTGATTGCCACTTCTCTGAGTTGGAACCAAACAGTATGAGCTAAATTCTTTGTCGACTTTGATTATTGAGCCTATTTTTTAGGTTTTGGTATACATTCACA